CATCGACCTCAATATTCACCAACAACAAACACCAGCATGCTGGCTCCATATCTACTACTCACATTTCTCCCTTGTACCCTCTCCGCCACACTCCCATCGCAGACTGCAGCCCCACCGACCCATTCACCACCCCCCAAACTCACTTCATCTCCCCCTAGCCTCACCACCACCCCCCTCATCTTGCTGGGACCCACCCCACCCTCGCATCTGGATCTATCCCGCGCACTTCCGGGACTGCGAGCGCGCCGCCGCCGGCATCCTCCGAAACATCGACGCCTCCACCGCCGTCATCTTCTCCCGAGACCCCAGATCTGGCTTCCGACTCCCGGCCGACTACCACTACCGATCCTGCTGGATATCTCTGAACATAGACCCAGGGGAAGCGGACGAATTTGAACCACAGGTAGCGTACATCGCGGCGTGGGACCTGGCGAGGGAGTGTACGAGTGTGACGCATCGATTTGGGGGAAGGAGGACGGTAGGGCCAAGGGATAAGGTCTTTCTTTATATCAATGGGGAGTGTGTGCCTGGTGTTGGTGAGGAAGCTGAGACGGTAGGCGTTGGGGTGGGCAATTGGACTACGCATGTCGCTGCCAAGAGCTAGGTGGGTATGTCAAGTGAAGTGACCTAGCAAGAAGATGCGAGACAATGGAATTATTATTCACTCTCTCAAGCCGTCATCTCCAATGATGCCCGGAGGGCGAAGACCGCATCACGGCTACCATGCATAAAATCCCACGTATTCTCGTCAAAAGCCACGTAATTGCCGCACAGGCGACTTCACCAGCGACTCTCTATACAAAACCCGAACTCCTGGCTGCTTCGTGCAGTCCGAAAAAGACGGACTGACATTCCACAACTCTTTCAAGTCGCCACAGTCACCAGCGCTCGTGTCCGTGCTCGACCAGCCCCCTTCACTTCCGACCCGGCCACTCCCAAAAATACCCCCACTCGCAGGCCTTCTCCCCCACCCCCTTTTTCCTACTCCACACCCATCCCACTCCTAGAAAAATACCCGACGATCCCATCCCCCACACCCCCCACATCATTTCGACAGATCCTAAACCCCCACGCCCTCGCATTCTCCCCCCGGGATCCTTCGTCGCGAACCCCAACAGCCCCTGCAACGCCCAGCTCAGGACCTGCGCGAATCCGCCATCCCTCACGACCCGGATGCCGACGTGGCTTCCGCGGCCGCGGGTAAGTCCCGCCCGTCGCGCTCCCGGGCGCTCGTGATGACGGCGCAGGGCGCAAGTTCGGGCGGCGAGATCGGGGTCGCCCATGAGTGCTGGAAGTAGAGCGGGATGGGGGAGGCGGGGACGGGGAAGGGAAGGGACTGAGAGCGAGGAGAATAAGGTGGCGTTGGTTGCCGGCCGCCGTGGGAGAGCTGTGTTGCTGTTGCTGTTGCTGTTGCTGTTGCTGTTATCATTTTCCAGGATCCCATTCCCGTTCCCCATCCCCCTCCCGGCGCCCGACGAAGTCGACCTCGATCCCACTATCGCTCGCCGCACAAGAACCGTCTCAAAGCCCACCCGGCCCTGATCGATCTCGATCTCGAACATCAGCACTTGCTGGTGCTCATCGCGTACCGTGAACTCGAAAAGCCCGTACAGCAGCTGGCTCAACTGCATGTACGTGGGGCGCTTCCTGCGGTATGTGATGAGGTTGATTTAGACGTAAGTGCTGGACGAGATGTACTGGGACCGGTTCGAGGCGATGGGCGAGGCGGGCTCCGAGAGCACGTGGCGTCGGATATCGAGCAGGGCGCCGTTGAGGGCGGAATTAGTTCGGGAGTGGGGATCAAGGCGCCAAATTGGGTGAAGGTCAGTTTGAGGGCGGTGTTGGAGATGGGAAAGGAGATGGGGCTGGATAGCGGGTGGGTGCTGTTAGTGCTGAGGCGAGGTTGGGTGGAGGGTCTGGAGGGGTGGAGGGATGGAGGGAGCATGAATGCAAGAATTGGGTCGGCGATTGGGAAGAGCGGCATGAGGAGACTGAGCGCAAGATGCTGCGTTCATGGTGTAACTATCTAGAAGATAATGACGTCGCTCAAACGCGATTGAGGGCGTCATATTTTGATTATAAGTAATGAGAAAGCGAGGACACAAGGTGGGTGATTCGCACTTTGAGCGCTTACTGCAGATGGCGACGTGCAGGGAAACTGGACGCGATATTGGTGCTGGGGATCGTGCGTAGGAGTGGACAAGAAACTGTGAAGACTTGCACTCTTTTTATGCGAAACACGGGTTGAGATGACGTTTCCGAAGGGTTGATTCGCACACGTGGTTTCAGGGGATTGTAGAGAGGGGAAAAGAGAGAAAATATGCGTCAAGTTTGTCGTGCGGTAGGAGTCTGATGCATCAAGAATTGATTCACATTTCGACGTGGACGGGGCGTTCATCTTACCATTGTATCATTATGCTAACACTTATTGTAAGGTTGAAAGTCATATTTATCGGGCCACAAGCCGTGGAATGAGCGGAGCATTCCATGAATGTGATGGTGCTGAGTTGCGAGCTTTTTACCGGCTTTCATGCGCCTAGGCTGCTGATGCATGCTTTGTCTGTTTGAGCACAAGAGCTCCTGGGCCAAGCTATTGGTCCCTGCGGAGCTGAATATTTCAGCAGGTGTATTTGTTAGCTTGCCTTATCACTCTCGAAATCCCCGTAGAGCTACCTGGTACACAACCAGGGCCTACAACTACCCACGTCTCTTCTTCAACATGGCAGGTTTTCCACCCACATAGATGAAAGACAAGATAGCCGTGAGCAAACACAAAGCGGCCACCACCAGGTTCATGTTTCCGTACCCGGCAGCGTCCTTTAATGATCCGCTAATGAGTGGCCCAACGGTCAATCCAGCGCTGAAAACCATCGAATTGATACCGTAGAGCTGAGCGTAAGGTCCATTGGCGCCGAAGAGCTCGGGGTTCGACTTGTCGTACATTCCAACGACATAAGACGCCTCAACAATAGACGGCGATCCGATGACCCCCATGCCAAGCCCGCAAAGTGCAAGCAAAGCGCAGTACACAATGATTTGAGACTTCCCGCCCGAACGGACCAGCCGGAGCAGAACCAGGACAGGCACGAGGTATCCGAAGCCAATGACCGCGGCAGGCTTAGGGCCATAGCGATCGACGGCCCACCCTGCGACGGGCCCAAGCACTAGGTAAGGCAGGACCAATGCAATGAAGAGGAGCCCGGCGCTTAGGGAGTCGAAGTTGAAAAGCTCTTGAGCTTCTGTTGGGATCGTAGCGTCGAAGGTTGCCAACAAGGTTGCTTGCACAAAGGCCAACAAAAGGGCGGTGAGAAGTCGTGGGTCTTTTAGGCAGTACAGGATTGGGAATGAGCGTATCGCTTTCGGTTGATCGGGCGGGATCTTGTATTCTTGGCTTTGTTCTTTTCGGATGAGCGGATCCTCCTCGGTCTCTTCGTCCCCATCCTCGGCATCTTGCTCTGGCTGCGCGGCATGGCCATTGGATACTTCTTCTTCTTCGTCCTCATATTTGGCAGCAGTCTTCTTCTCGATGATCAGAATTCTCATGATGAAATCGAGGGCTAGGATGGCGAAGCCTAGTCCGAATACACCTGCGCGAATAAGGAGTCAGGCTTTCATTTTTCAGATGAAGAGAACTTCCAAAGATCTTTTGAGATCTGCGAAAATTGAGAGCAAACAACAGTTCCTTCTCGTGCAACCACGTAGCTTATAACTTTGGGAACAATTCCCGAAGGAAGGTTGAAAACGCAAAACCTTACCTCCATAGCCTGCAGATTTGTAAATGATGCCTCCCAGAACAGGAGCCGCCAACTCGCCAATCGAGATGAAGCCAAAGATCTAGATGCATCAGTCAGAGAGAACATCTCGTAGGATCGTGAGCGGCCAACGCACGGAACCGATCGTCTTTCCCAGGTTTTCCGGACCGACAGTATCAAGCACCAGAGCCAGCCCAATCGTCCACACCACAGCAGCGCTAATACCTTGCAAGACACGCGCGACGGTCAAGACGGCGACATTCTGGCCCAGGAAAAGGAGCAGTGTAGCCAGTAGTAAGGCTACCAGCCCGACGAGGAACGGCAATTGGCGCGTAGGCAGTCTGTCCGCGAGGATTCCCGCCGGCGGTGAGAAGAGCACGCTGGCGCCTGCGTAGGCTGCGAGTAGGCCCGAGACATGGCTCTGGATCTGATCGGGGGGTAAATCGACGCGGTCTTGTAGGATGAAGGGCAATATTGGAACGACGAGGCCGTACAAGAAGAGGTCTGTGAACAAGCCGATGCCGACGGTGCTGACGATGAAGAGGGTGCTGGACCTCCACTTGAGACCAATGGGCTTGGACTTAGCCATGTTTGCAGTTCGAAGGAGTGACCAGTCAAGTGGACGTTGTGAAGGTGCTTTGGGCGCGTAGAATTCTGCTGCGCGATGATGTCATGACTCTTGAATCGCCCCAGTCGAAATTCAGCGAGCACACGTTTCTTACTTTTCTACAATTATACCAATCACCGATAAGATATTGCTACGACTGATAGCAGTAGAAGTGGTCGCAAATTTGAAAGCATTTTGATTCGAGCGGTGTTATTGAACAGGAGGACGTTGGTGGCTCCATATCAATCAAGCACGTTTTTTTGAGGACTATATTTCGCAATTGTCTTATGCAAAACCCATGACGTCTATGTACTCGTCGTCACTGACTGTCGTGTATCTCGAGGTCATAGTGTCCGAGCTTCTCAAATCTTTGCCTTCAAACTGACCATGTGGCCTCACACCGTCCCACGCTCCCTCATCATTGCTTCCATCTTCAATTGCACGTCACAGAATATGTTAATAGCCTGATGGTGTTTTTCCATCAGCTCAAGGTCCTCTCCCCAGGAAGCAAATTGGTTCGTTCTCCTCGACGTACCTGAATCAATTTTCCCTCATTCCCACCATTCGAATCCCTGGTCATGGCCAACCGAAAAGCGTCTTCGTTATCGGCGAAAGCAAGCTTCGGCGGTATCTTATCTGCAATTGTCTTGACCTCATCGAACAACGACGGCAAGTTGGCGATATACGATGGGTCTACTTTGGTAGAAGCAAGTTCACGGAGGAGTTTGGGAGCGATGGTGATGTGGTCGACGCCTGCGAGGAGCATAATCTCGTCGATAGATGTCAAGCTCGCCGGGAGGACTTTGGTGGAGAAATTGTGGTGTTTGTAGTATGTTTGAGCTGCAACGCAGAGCTCGAAGAGCGGAGCGTCTCCTTTGTATCTGTACTCGTTTCTTAGAGACAACCTAGTGTTTGCGGAGCGAACGGTACAAGTCATTGCCTACCCTGGTTCGGTCTGAACCCTCAGTTCATTGAGATAGGGTGCAATATAATGACAGCCAACGTTTCCAGCCAGAGCAGCTTGAGCCAAAGTGAACAGTGTGGTCGCTAGCGTAGTGATACCAGTCGCCTGAAGCGTACGACACGCCTGTAGACCCTCCCACGTACTTGGAACCTTGATGCAGACCCGAGACGTGTCGAAGTCACGATCAACGTGCTTAAATAAATCAAGTATGCCTGTCTCCAGATTCAGCTGTCGGTCTTATGCGTACCCGGATGCTGCTGCTTACGCCGGGCGTTCTCGATTGTCTTCGACGTCGAGTATGAGTAAGACGGATTCGTCTGGACATGAACGAAACCTTTGACATGAGGCGCCATTCGCAGTGACAAGCTGACCATCTGGCCTATCGGTCAAGTTGCGGTCAAGAAGAAGGAGATTCAGACATACAGATATCTCTATGGCCAGCTCCGTGAGCGAAACCTTTTCAAAATCTCCAGCCAATTTCCTAGCAAGATCAATGGAGCTTTGGAGTAGCGCTTCATGCTGGCTTTCTTGAAGCTCATTGAATGCAATCGCCTGCAAACACATGCGTTAATCACGACACGCTCCCCATGTTACCTGCAGTGAAGGTACCTGATTCGAGGTGCAATCCTGGAATGGCCCAAGAGATGTCGCCACTGAATGAGAAAATTTGTCAGCGGTGATGTCCAGTCACGATCTGTGTACCTCGAAGGCTTACCATCAACGTCAAGAGTGTCACAATCAACGGTGGTACGAGATCTCAGCAAAGCCAAAAGCGAAGTTGGAGATGTCATCTTGAGGCGTCCAGGAGTTCAAACTCGGCTTGTAAAAATGTATGAATCGTCCTGAATTAAGGAGGGTGATCGACAATTTATGGGGAATGTGATCAGGATACTAGCGACAAGGAAGCGTGTCCGAAGAAGGTTTGATAACATTTCGGGCCTTCTCTGGCGCCGTCACGCTTAAATCTCATATTTAGCCGGTGAGAATGAGGGATCAGAAATCTACCCGCGTACCTTAGCTTGTAGAGGGGTCAGGTTGAGATGTCAAGGTACAAGCACTCAGACCGGAAAGGGCCGAGATATTCCAATCGCCATACAAGGATGTATCTGAGAAGATGCGTGATTGGGTAAGGTTCTGTGATCAGATATCTGCCTCGCCAGATTTCCCTTCTCTATTCAAGACCAAATGTATTGTCGAATTGAGGATACAAAAAACACCTTATCGAGGAGACAAAGTGCTTTGAGATTCTTGGATGGCGTATGAACACTGACACCATCGTACCCGAAGATTTAAGGGGGCGTTACAGGAAGCTGTGATGTCGGTGGCATATTCGTAAGACGTCCTCAAAAATCGACAAATACTGAGATCTAAGATCATATCAACAAGTCCTTAACCTCGTCCATCTCTTGCCTACGGTCAAATTTCGCATACTCCCCACTAGCATAGTAGGATTCAATGATTGTGTACAGCGCTGTGGCGGGAGTCAAACGGTCGTGCTACCAGAACATGATCCCGCGCTGGAAAGATTTATATTGCTTTTGATGATCACTATTCACGATCACGGTGCTAAAAGTATCCAAATAATCTCCGCAATCCCTAGACCATCCAATCCAGATCTCAATGATCATCTGAACACCCCAAAGACCCAGAATGGCGAAGTTTATACAGATTCTCGCCAAGACCACCTGATGCAAGTCCATTCATTGGCCGAGATTCTTAAAATACACATCGAATGCAAATCAGATTTGCTGGATGACACCATACAACACTCTTGACACTGCTGTATCGGAGCTCAAGAGACCGAAAGACACATCGGACAAAAGTCGCCTACGACCTTAAATCACTCCAAGAAAGTGAAGAGATTCGTATGAATGATACTCATAGCGCGATCCGCATCTCGCTGATCCACCACGCAGGAGATGTTGATCTCGCTTGCTCCTGCTCGCATTTAGTGAGTGCCAAAGGAATCAAACTAGAAGACTGTGATTGAGTAGGAAAGAAAGTGAGGAGAAGGCCGTACCCTGCGAGATCATTTCGATGTTGATATTATGCTTCCCCAACACACTAAGCATCGCCCCTGATATACCAACCATATTCTTCATCTCCTGACCCACCAGACTCACAATCGCCATCTCATCCACCAGCTCCACCGCTCCTAAGCGCGCCATTTCATCGACAGCTCCCCGAAGGTCGATATCTACGATGTGTCTCCTCTCGCCGTCTCCGCGGACTAGTTCACGATGACAGTAGAAAGCCAGGGAGACATTTACTTCTGAGCTGGCAATCAGGTCGACGGAGAGCCGCCATTTGTCTAGGATTGCAAACGTGCGTTCCAAGAAACCACGCGAGGAGGTCCGTTTGTTGGAGCGGAGATTTATGACCAGGATGCGATTTTTCACTGTTACGGCCGTAGGGCGTTTTGCACGATTGGTCAGCGTGCCGCTGATGCCGGATTTCCGGGAGCGGAATGCTGGTGGTGTGGGAAGACGCGCGGAGGTGATATTCTTGGAAGCAGAGGCGTCCAAGGAGTCTGGGAGGATCGTTGTCCCGGTGCCGCTGGGATTCGTCACGTTCCTTATTCGGATCGGGATGCTTTCGCGGATTACTTGTTCCATGGTGAATGGGTGTATGACTTCAGATCCGTAGAATGTTAACTCGGCAGCTTCGGATGGCGTGATTGTTGAGAGTAGTCGTGCGGTAGGCACTTTCCTGGGATCGGCACTGTAAATGCCTTCTACTTCTTTCAAAATTTGAAGTTCGGATGCACCGAGACTGATAGCGACAAGAGCGGCGCAGAGATCAGTGTAGCCTCGGCCGACGTGGCTCAGTAGACCGCCGGGCACAGGGCCGAAGAAACCGGTTACGACGGGGATCCGGTTGCCTGACTCGAGGAATACGGGCCTCAGAGCTTCGGCGTAATCTTCATAGAAACCCTGGTTGATGTCACCTGTTGGTGCTTCGACAGTTCGGATACTGGAGAGATCAATCACATAGGCGTCTAATCCACGATCTTGGAGAAGTGAGGCGATGAAGTAGCAGCTTAGGATTTCCCCTTTACTGATGATTATGTCTAAAGTCCGCGGACTGACTTCTCCCAATGTGTCGGCTGCTGTTAGGTATTTCATGAGATCGCGGGTTTCCCGCTCGAACTCTACGGTGAGATTTGCAAGGAGGTTCGGGGATCGAAGATTTGGGATGGCAGCTTGGATATGGTCGTCGAGAATACTGGTGACGATGGACTTATAGGCTGGAGGGTTGCTTTTCGCTGCTTCCGCGGCGGCTTTGAGCAGTCTGGGCACGTTTTAAGATTTCTGCTTGTAGGTGGATCTGTGGATGTGCTTACTTCGTGGTTGTGCCTTCGGCTTTGATTCCAGAGCTACGGGCAGAGCAAACAACTGCCAGACGATTGCGTTTGACTTCGCTGCAGATAATGTTCGCGATCTCGTTGGGAAATTTGCCAATGGAGGTGCCGCCGTATTTTTGCACCACCCAGTCCTTCCTAAAGTTCAAGGCGCCGCTATCTGATTCCATATCTAGAGTGAAGGGAAAATTTGTGTCTAGTTTGAAACCCAGGTGTAAATTATGGGAATTCACTACAACATACATTCATTATGTTTTTTTATAGGAAAAAGGAGAAGGAAGAAACACACATCATCGGTCATCCCTCGGTTGACTCATACCTTGTTCCCAGCGTTCAATGTACCTGAAGACTTCAGATTTCAAGCTCCAACTCGACAACGCAAAAAGGTTTTGGGATAGTAGCAAGTCTCCGATAAATCTAGTATACCGTGTTTCTCTGGTAACCGTCCGGCGCCCGCACAAATCAATACCACCAAACCACGGACCAACATATAAACGCAGCGCGCGAATGAGAATATTTATAACAAAATAGTACGTACACCACAGGGGACAAATAAAAAATAAAATTTGAACGATAAACTAAATTAAAGGAACCGCCCGACCAAAAAAAATATTTTTATAAAACATAAAAATAAAATAAAAACATAATTCGAACGATAATAGATAAAAAATTTAAATTTCTAGAAGTAAATATTAATAATTATTCTATATATAGTATATATATAAAATAAGAATTCTTTCTTATTAATAACACATTTTATTATTTTTATTTTATTTATTATTATTTTCTTTATTTAATATATATAAAGATACATAAAATAAATCTACTTTTATTTTATTCATATTTTAAAGCTTTTTCTTTATTATATAAAATACTATAACTATTATATAAAATATTCTATTTTAAAAATATCTATAATTTATAAATATTAAAACGTTATTTTTAAATAAATAATAACTAGTTATTATATATTTTATTATATATAATATTTTATAATAAATTTATAAATAATCGAAAAATCGAGATTCTATAAAACCGAAATCAAATATAAATATTTTAAAGTTATTAAACATAATACTTAAAATTTCGAAAAATTTATATATAATGAAATTGAATAATATTATTAATTAAAAAATAAAATAAACAAAGATAATAAATCAAAAAAAAATAAAAAATAAAAAAAAATAAAAAAAAAAAAGATAATAAATTCCGAACAAATAACTTAAAAATTTTAAAAATATTATTATAAATTAAAATGAAAATAGACCAAAAAATAAATCAAATTATTATTATTAACGAAATTTTAAGACTTAAAAGATAATCGAAATTTCGAATAGTCATAACTAAAATAATTTAAAAATACATTATTAATTAAAAATAAAATAACCAAAAAATAAATCATATTATTATAACCAAATTAACTTAAAAGATAATGAAATTAAAGTATAATAACTAAAAAATAAAAAACTATTATAATAAAAATAAACTAAAAATAATAAAAATATTATTAACTCGAAATTTTCGAGACTTTAAAAGATAATTCGAAATTTCGCGATAGTTCTATAATTAACTAAAATAATCTTAAAAATACTTCGAAATTTTCGAGATCTTTATAAAGTATTATTCTTAAATATTTAATATTTAATATTTATAAGTTATTTAAACGCGAAAATTTCGCAATTATAATAAGCGCGGACGCTATCTACTTCGGAGCGGCTGACTCAGCGAATGTTCCCCGTCCCGCGCCGGACGGTTACCAACTCACGGGAATGTTATAATCCAAATTTTGAAAGTGCGATGCTCCGAGGATCAACCGAGGCAACGTCACGTGATCCGGTCGTAGCGAAAAATCTGAAAGTCAATCGACATATCCGAAGACGAAGTTGATACTCGGACACTGGATCGCTGCCCCTCGAGATGACGATCAAGAAAATTCTCTTCGATGACAGGCCCCCCAGAATGCCCGACTATCTTGACTACGAGGATGCATTTCCATCCCACCTGACCGTCGACCCAAACGACCGACCAAAAAAGTACTAAAGTACTTGCAAGGCGCCAGAAGTACCGAGGTCGAAATCCAGGCATCGACTGTTGCGCGGAATGCGAGAAATGCACGAAAAGAACGGTTCAACATCCATGGACTCAAGCCAAGGCGCGGAAAGCCATTACCGGAGCTTTGATGACGCCGGTGCGTGGAGTTGTGTGTCACGAACAGCCATTCGAGAATGTCAGAGAAAGTTGAATGAAAAACAGCGACCGTAGACGGAGGGAGACACAGAAGACGAGCCAGCGCATGCGCAAGGCACGAAGATGAAGAATTCCACGTTAATTTCATCATCCCAAATGGACAACGAAACTCTGTCTACGCTCATCCGCTCCCTGCTCGACTCTGCGCCAAATTCTCCGACAAGAACAACAAGGCAGTCCGGCGCGCTTTTCGGGCTAGGTCGAGGCTTTTTCCCAGAACAAACGCAACAGAATGCGAGGACACCTTGAGATGGATTGCATGCGACGAATGCGGAACTCCACGCAGCCACATCATCCAAATACCGTTGGCAACCCTGAACACGCCTACGCCCACTGTCAGTATCACTGTCAGGCCTGCTGGCGGAAAATCTGTACCCGAGGCTCAGCAACCAGCATCATGCAAGAGATGATGGAAACGTCAGGTGGTAGATTTTGTCAGCATTCTCCTCAGTCGTCGAAGCTTCGCTGTGGCTCGTCCGGGGAGTGTAGAAAGGACACCTTTTGAAGTGTCAGCAAAGAATAAAGTTTGCATATTGTGAGAGGACTGCCAAGAAGCTGGCGTGGACGATACGGCAGCGTGTGAGGCATGCGGTGTGAAGCAGGACACTCATAGATGAAAGCAATCGAGTTAGGCAGGTACATAGACCAGGACACCGACAGACTCACCTTCCGCCTTTTCCCCAACAAGCGTCGTATAATCGAATAGATACTAGTTTGCTCAGTTCAGAACGGCCATGCAAAATCCAAACAATCCTCTCAACCGACGATACGAATACGACAACAAGGAACAAGGAACATCTCACCAACGCTAGCGCCCATCAAGGGCCAATGTCAATTGGTCACCACCTTAGAGGCCGCTGTCAAGCCGCTGTACCAACGGCGACGGCGGGGATATTAGCGTGGATCTCGCAGCTGTGACCGCTGTGATAGGGTAGATTTAAAATAAGCTAAAAACGCTTACGCAAAGTCAACCTGTTAAGGCATAATCTACCTACCTAGCCTGAGAGTACCGAGCCGCAATGTCCTCATCTCGCCGTATAAATACGAGTGGTGCCTCTTTCCAACACGCAAAGTACAGTATGCGTCAGCGTTTTGTATATATGTACATATAATTGAGTCGTTCATACCTTCTTCGACTTCGCTTTTGCTGCTGTCTGCTTTCTACCCGCTTTTCGGGGGGGATAAGAGAACTGGTTGTGCCAGAGGTCAGAGATCAGCAGTCCCCAACTACCTTACCACCGCTCCATCTTAATCTCCCGCCCAAAGATCCCGCAACAATGGCCAACGCCGGCCACAACCCCAACAGCCTGATAAGCTACGGTCCAAATGAAAACTGCACCCTGACACCCGGTCCGCAATACTGTCCGGCGAGCGTGGGCGTCTACGAGTACCGCCCCTCGTTAGCCGCAGACAGCGTGTTCATCGCGCTTTTCGCCATCGCACTGGTCATCCATCTGGGGCTGGGGATCAAGTACAGGACGTGGGCCTTTTTGTTTGCGATGTTCTGGGGGTGCGCCAGTGAGTTGATTGGGTACGGGGGGCGGGTGCTGATGTGGGAGAATCCGTTCTCGTTTCCGGGCTTTTTGATCCAGATCAGTGAGTAGCTCGCCTCGCGTCATTGCCCTTCGGACGTATATTGTCAATTGCTTGTCAAACGGGATGAGAGAAATGGTTTCTAACGCTCGACAGTCTGTATCACGCTTGGCCCAGCATTCTACTCAGCAGCCATCTACCTGACCTTGTCGAAAATGTGAGTACACCTCACCTCGAAATCACGAACCAGGTCTCACGCTGACATTGATATACCACAGTATCATCTTCCTCGGTCCCCAGCATGCACGCTTCTCACCAAAGCTTTATTATTGGATCTTTATCGTACGTACCTCCGCTGTTCCCTTTTCCCCCTTGAGCAAAAATTGGAGTCTTGAGACATGGATCGGGAGAATCCACTTCGCGGACATATTTCAAAACCTGAAGGACACCCCCGAACAGGCAATACTGATTGCGAAATCTTCCTATAGCCCTGCGACCTTCTTTCCTTAATCCTGCAAGCGGTCGGTGGAGCCCTATCGTCTGTTTCCTCCGGAAGTAGCAAACCCGCAGTGGACGTCGCCATCGCGGGTCTCTCCTTCCAAGTCTTCACGCTCTGCGTCTTCATATCCCTCGGTATAGAGTTCACGATCCGCTATATTAGGGCGCCACGGGATCAGCAACGGAAAACGCCCTTGCCAACGAGGTTCAAGGTATTCATGGCATGCTTGTCATTAGCAATCATCTGCATCTTGATACGATGCGCGTACAGGATTGATGAGTTGAGTGATGGGTATGATGGACCGTTGATCCATAACGAGCCGCTATTCATTGGGCTTGAGGGAGTGTGAGTGCTGCTCTCGTCCGTTGACGCGCGACGAATCTAACGACCAACGGGTACAGAATGATCGTCCTTGCTGTCTACTCGCTTGTGATCGCACATCCTGGACCGATATTCGGACACTCAGATGCAAACACTTATGAAACCGACGTCACCGCTACCTCGGATGCCTTCACTGAGAAGGCGGAGCCCGGGATGTCGACTACGCAGCAGAGTGTATGACGACGAGATTGAAAGTTTGTTTTAGATGAGACAGAGTGACAATAGAGGCGCCGAGATACCGCTAAAGGATCAACTCGTAGGCAGCGAATATCACAGAACAGCATGATGAACAGCATGATATACCCAAATCCACATTCACTGCGCCTAGCAGACGAAGTCCAGACTGGATTTCGTGTCCATCAAGTGCGAAACATTTTTGCACAAATCCAACGAACCCTCATTCTATCCATGTCTTTTGCTACAAAAAACTTATGACGCAGCACAGTCAATATCCTCCTTTGCCTTTGCCGAGCCCAACTTCAACCAGAGTGTTCCGCGCCTCTAAACGACCTCCGCAGCAAACTCTAGTAATCGTGCCACGCACTTGACTCGTCTGACGGATCGCGAGCCGCCAGGCAGCGACCATGCGCAAGGTACAACCGTGCCAATGGTTGTCGATCAGACTCCCATGCCGGAAACGTCACCCACCAATTGCCAACACTCCTTGCCTTGGGTTCCTGATAGAAACTGTGAGCGTCAATTTTATTCCAAAGCCTCAATCCGGATGAATGCCCCACAGAGTTCTTGATTGAGCCGATTTCGGCAGGCGGACAGCAACCAAGCATTTGCATTTCTCCGCTGATCATGAAGAGGGAACAGGACTAGCTTGTCGTCAACCCCGAGCTCGTTTGTTCCTAAAGATTGGTCCCGGATTCGCTCAGGTCACAACGGACAAACCCTGACAAGATGGCGGAAAATTTGATGTCTACATAATACAGCATAGCATGCTTAACGAATGCAAGTGTTTGCAGTTGGCATGATGTTGTCATCCTGTCACGTTTTTCTTGTGGCTGTCATGATTTTAATCTCCGTTGTTCAAGTCTCGTTCGCCGGTCCCACCCACAAGGTCTCCGAAGCAGCTGCCTTCGTTCCCAGGCCGCTAGATACCGCAGAATTCCCCCTCCCTTCGAGTATTCATTTTCGCCGACTTGGTAAGGTGGGAGCCATGCCCAAGGCATACGTTAGAACCCGGGGTACGGCCCCACCAGGCCACATCGCTTTCAAGTTCCTCCACCGCGGCCCCAACTACGAGATACTCCCCGTCCGCGTCGGTGCCGTGGCTCTTCGCACTTTCTACACTACGATCTTACACTCGGCATCCAACATGTGGCCGCAGACCAAACGCCCGGCAATGGTTTTCACGATAACCCAAGGGGCACTCCAACTTACGATGACTGGCTTCGGCACAGCGGTCCCCTGGGACTTTGTACAAGATTGGGCGATGAAAGCAGCGGAGAGTGTGGCGAGAGGACGGACGGATACGTTCGACGCGGGGTATGAGGTTGAAGGGACGGGTGTGGGGGTGTGGGTCAGTTTGAGGCTGTTGGAGTAGTGGGTGGGCAAGGAAGATGCAATTGTTATGTAATGGTGATAGGAATACTCAAATTGCTCTGCAGAATATAGCAAAGTCCCACGGTCCCAGCTTGATAGCGGGAGGAGCTGGATGTGGTATAGCATGAGCTGCGCCAGGCGGCGTAACCTCAGTCCATCCTCCAGTGGATAGTTTATCCTTCTTAAATAAAGACTTCTTCGTGCTTGCGCTACCTCCCACAGGCGACGCGGAGAAGTTGACTGCAATCAGGAATTCTTCACTTTCCCGCCTTCTCGTGAACGCAACCAATCCAGCTCCACCGCCGGCTATCAGCCAAGTCATGTTGCCTCTTCGTAGAGCTTCATGGCTGCGTCTGAGCGTGCCCAAGCTCTTGTAGAAAGCAGAAAATCGATTTGCCAGGGATGAACCCCAATTAACAGGTGTATGCGTATTGTACCCACCACGATCATTGCCCACTTCTTCGCCAGCAAAGAGCATTGGCACACCTTCAATAGTGAAATTGAAAACCGCTGCACAAAGGGTTCCGTCAGGTCCACCATACATTTTGAGGTCTAGATCCATGTCCCAATTTTGCATGATAGACGTGTGCAGCATGCCTATCGGGTGTGCTGATTGCAGCTGGCTGAACACCTTGGGCAAATTACTCGCGTCCTGCGTCTTTGTGGCAGAGGCCACGGCAGGCTGGAGGGAGTAGTTGGCGTAATCCATGTTGAAGGGGCTTAGGGAAAGTTCAGGATTACAACATTCACCAAGGAGTATCGCCTTCGGATTAACAGCTTTCAAGTTGCTGCCAATGAATGCCCAGGTTGCGGCTGGGATCATTCGATCCTTTCCATAGGGATTGTCAGCTGTGTCGAAGCGAAAACCATCGACGTTGTAGTTCCTCATCCACCATACCAGCATCGTCAACATATACTTTTGCACCGCAGGGCTTGACTTAAAGTCCAGCTGTGCGACGTCATCAAAGTTGAAGGCTTGCGAGGTGGAGCTTGAATTGTTCTTGATGCCGTCTGCATGTACGTAATACTCCGGGTGCTGTACAACTAACGAATGATTCCACGCGGTATGGTTCAAGACAACGTCCATGATAATACTCAGACCCAGAGCATGCGCTTGGTTCACTAAGGTAGCAAAGTCAGACGGCTGCCCCAAAGCTGGGTCTATGGCGTAGTAATCAGCAACTGCATAAGGGCTGCCACATGCTGGATGATTTTCGAACGGGACGCCGATCGGATGAATGGGCATGAGCAGGATTGTTGAGAATCCTAAGCCGGCAATACGTGATAGATCATGGGATATTGCCGCCAGGTTACCAGTTGATGAGAATATAGGCGCGTAGATGTTGTAAATCATTTCGTCGCCAAACGTCGCGGCATGAGCTTTGCTACTGCTGTTAATATTAGCAATCTCCGCTGGTGCGATCGTGGTTGCCGTGGTTGCCGTGGTTGAAGAGTTTGCCAAACTGTTTGGCAGTACGACTTGCCACTGAGCCAAAGGGTCGTTCGCACTTGCCATTTGAATCACGGCTGAACCGCTGGTCGAGCCTGCAGCTCCTGCCACCAAACCACTGTTCTGATTGACCAGCGTCAGGGCTCCATTCGAGGTTGGCACCAGAGTCCACATCTCACTTGCTCCTCCGTTGCAAGACCATTGCTGTAAACTCGCACCCTCGGCTTTACTTTCGTAGGCCACATTCAAACACATAGTGGTGTCTATAGCATTGAGCAGATAGCGCCCGCTCTGACAGTCTTGAAGGATCCAGCTCGGTACTGAACCATTAGAAGAAGCTGTCAATACAACTTCGGCACCAGCATAAATGGCCGTGGTGTTGAGATAGAGACCTGTTGCGGTATTTTTGAGGGCGAATACTGCGCCGTCCGCGGGTACTGGCATTGTGCTAGTTACGGTTGTGAGGGTAAACCTCGTTGGCTGGCTCCTGGCCTGTCTGGTGGAAACCTTTTCAGCTCGGACTCGCCAAGTAGCCTCTCTGTAATGATTGAGATAGACTGTCCTTTAAAGGTGCCTTTACAAAACAGAACCTCCGGATAGAATGGTAGTGTAGAAACTCATCAAACTGGTGTAAGTTTGCAACTGCTCAAAACAATACTGATTGCTATCATAGGTTATCACTGAGGCATTTGGACTGATGGCAAAAGCCGGACGGGATTTGACAGAATTGATTGGTACTAGTAGTGTTGTGCTCAGGCATTGAATAACTCCAGTATATCAAATATATTAAAGTAGCTGTGAAGACAGACAGATCAATTATAGTACTCAATTATTCGTAGAATCCTTTGTCAAACTGTCAATACTGTCATCTGATGAAAGGGAAGAAGTTGTCCAAGAGAAATTCTTGTCTTGGCATTATTCGACCTTTCGTAAATTACCAAACACGGCAAGGCGGTAACGCTAGTGCCTTATCAAATCAAGCGCCGTCTGGCGGAATATCAGGGAGACTAAGGTACGGTATAATATATTCCTGCACTATTATTGTCGAGCTGCTGCACTTGGCCTCCACCAGGGCACCAGTCCAAAACGACGGCGTCACCGAGTGATGCATTGGGACTGCCCAAGAACAGATTCACTAGGCTTCAGCCCTATCAATCTCGCAGGTCGGTTCGGTCGGCTCGCGAACTACCTTCGTCGAATGTTAATAGTGTAAGGTAAGTATGCTTTTATAGCCTGGTCGGGCAACAGCTGTATTGATTGACTTCCAAGTTGACATGCTCTATAATTCAAAGACAGACAGCGTTCGAGTAAAGTCGCAATAACTTCATAATCTGGATGTATGAAGGTCGCGGAAATGAGACTACGCCGTCATTAGACTGCTAAAATTATATGAACGTGAAAAGAGCCGGAGCTGACCTTGAAACCTGTGCCGCCTGCATGCGACTGGGCAAGATTTTGATTGGAGGAATTTGGATAGCATTTTGCATAGGATCTATCGCATCTCTTAAAGCTTAGCAGTTCAGACTGCTGATGTTTGAGCATTATGGCGTACAACCTTCGAGGACCTATCGCATCTCTTAAAGCTTAGCAGTTCAGACTGCTGATGTTTGAGCATTATGGCGTACAACCTTCGGAAGGACATGGCTGCAACCACACAACTATGACAACTTATAAGAGTGAGTTCGACGGCCATCCTCAACACTGACTCGTAAAGTGGCAGTAAATTCCGCTGAAAATTACTTTGTTTTGATTCCAGTCAACTAGCGTGGATAAAGACCGTCGCAAGGGCACAAACAACGAACGAAGCATGGCACATTAGAGGCAATGTCTTACACATACTTACTCTGGCTGCAGCCTTTAGCCTCGTCCTTACAAGCCCGGCAACAGCACCTACGGAGCCAAGCCCAGGGGTTATAGCGAATACAACAGTACTTCCAGGCCCGGGTGACAACTATTGCGGTAAGCAGCCATTATGTGGGCTCATTTACAGTAGTCTATTCTCCCAGGACTGACTCTGCTAGATACTGACGGCAGTGACTTTGAAAACGGATCGTCATCCGGCTCCCCTTTGATCGAAGACTGCGGCAACCTGTCTTCCATTATGACTTCCGCGCCCAACGACGATAACCCTTATGGCTGGTGGGAAGTACAACACTGCACGCCAAACTGCAAGTGGTGGCTAGCCAAGTATCAGACTTGCGAATTCGGTGTCAGTGCAGACGGACCGTTCGGAGAGTACAAGCTTGGTATAACGAGAGTCGACATTGCTGCAATACTCGATCTGAGCATTGAGAAGTTTAGCTGGTACAAGAAGGTTGGCGCAAGTGGAGACATGCAGTGTAATATCATGAACGGAGCGGATGAGCCGACCGGTGAGCAGCATGGGATGTCATGGTCTATAGCTCATACATAAGGTTTCGTGTAAACTTCGAGGAGGTCTGCTCTCAGGTTGCTCTTCGCGTTCTTCGGACGATGATTGCGGGCTTGATACCAGCATTTTTTCGAGTTAGGAGCCTATAATGGAGCCAAAACAATCATTTGACATGGGACATGAATTCTTCGGCTTGTTCTGACTGAGCAAGAAGCGCTTGATAGTATTCGGGCCCGTAAGCGCTCGCAGTTGTTGTGATGTACATCGTAAAGGGTGGGAAGAGGATCGCGGTCGAGGAAGACTTGAATATTGAATGGCTTGATCGACTTGGAACAGGACGTGTTGTTTATTTTTTTTGTCCATAATGGTCGGCCGTCCCTTATATCCCGCCAGACAGGCTGCAGCTCCGTCTAGGCGTCAGTTAGACTATGGCAACATGCACAATAGCGCAAAGGATAGAAAATAGAATAGTATAGTAATAGAAATATCAAAAGCCGCGAGGAAGTTGGTGGATTGAAGATTAAAAATAGAGCGAGGATACGTAAAACGGCTCTGGCCGATTCTATTCTAGCGGCTTTTCCACATTTCCTGTACCGTTTCTTGGCACTAGATTAGCCCCAAGTATTCATAGCCCTCACAAACCCCATCCCACCAGGAACAACATCGGCCCGAATAAATAACAAACGCCGACATGCCGACTATGGATCACAAAATAACTGGTCTCGCAAAAGCATGGGCCGACTGGGGCCTCACGATTAAAGACAGGGCCGAACACCTTGAAGACAGGGCCAACATTCAGGCAATCCTGAATCTCGAACTTGGCGCCCAAGCAACCATGACCAATAACTTTCCCTCCTTCCTCGACACGTCTCCCGGCACCGGCAGCTCTGGCAGCGCACCACGTCTCGCGCCCTCGCCGGTCGCTCAGCAGCAACAGCAGCAGATCAACAACAACGGTAATGGGGCCGGTATGAACGGAATGCCTATGGCGGCTGGACAGCAGGCAGATGTGAACTTCCTGTTTCAGAAGTTGGTGGAGCTCAGTGAGGTGTTGAAGGAGAATCGCGAGAAGACAGCAGGGGTTATCGCTGGTGCTGAAGAGCTTGCTGTACGTGTATCTACCCCAACCTTCATAGTGCTCAGCATCTGCCTGGCCCTCCTATTATTCCTATGCCTTAATGCTTGCTAACACGCTTTCCCCAACCTAGACTCGCGCTGCAGCCAAAGGAGCAAGCCCCTCCCTTCAAGAAGCCAATGCAGAAGTCTCCTGTGAGCTCACTCTATATAGCCCCTCCTCCTCAGACTCCAATGACTAAAAATCAGCCCAAGCCGCCCGCATCGCCGATCTCGAACGCCAGCTTGCCCGCGAGCAGAACAAAACCCGCATCCTCATGGACGAGCAAAAGGAAAACATCAAGCTCATTGGCGAGTACGAACACCATCTGGGCGAAATAGTCAAAGATGTCCGCGACTTTAGTTTCAACACGAAAACCCGCGAAACCTCCATTGCACGCCACTATAACAAGCTCTTACAAGACGAAAAAGATGCACACTTGGCCGCTCGCCTCGAGAAAGACGACTGGCACGCCAAATTCATGCGTACCGTCGAAATGCTACGGGAAGCCTATCGTCTACGGTGCGAGGAGGAAGAGGTACCCATACGTGTTATTGCTGGACTGCAAAATGAGGTGCGGGCTTACCGTTCATGCCTGGGGATGGAGGCTGAGAAGCCGGAAGAAGAGTTTGGGTGGGAGATTCTGAAGGACGTGCTGAATGGAAGTGGAGAATCGTGAGGCATTTTCCCCCATTTAGATGGCACAGACGAGACAAGAGCGTGCATGGCATTTAGTACGGCGTCTGGAATGATACCCCAGGTTGCATTTGATGATTGAATCTTGTGCGATGAAGGCATAGGAAGCTAGCTAGGAAGGCCACATCCGAGGTAGCTACTTGCGGCACAGAATTGTTGCTTATATGATGAAGTTGGCTGCCTTGTGACCGTCCGGAACCAGCATGTTGCATATTGGCATGGCACTCCCAGGCCCATTCCCCAGGAAGTTCTGTTCGAACCTCTCACTCAAGACTGTCAATGGACTCGGCAGGTCCATTGGCTCGTAACCCGTCAGGGTTTAGCAGCTGCCGGTATCTATGGAAGCAGATCGTATGGGCCGGAAAGTTTTGTGCACAATGCCCATGCAGTCCCCAACCTGACCTCCACTATACGCCTCTCGTAACTGTTTTATATACAATGACCCTCCAGCCCCCTCTTCTTCAGCTCAATTGCTTCTTGCACCACCCTTTGCAGCCCTCAGCTCATCCATCTTCGCTACCCTCTTCTTAAATTCTACATACTGGCATTTCTCATACGAATGTCTCTCATCCTATAGCAATCCTTGTCAGCCATGTCCGGATTCGCTTAGCGGAGCAAGTATAGCATACCACGCATTTCCAAGGCAGGTAATATGATTCGAATCGACACCGATTGAGGGGGATAGCGAGGTGGGCGCAGCTGTCTCGGTAGGCTAGGGGTAATTTGGCTTCAGACATTTGCTCTCGAGTTGCACGAGCTAAAGGGAGGTGGAAACTCAGTCAGCAATGGGTTCGGATGCTTCGCTGCTGTCCATGCTTCGAGACCACATAGAAAGGAAGGTGGACTTGAGACGGGCTACGACTCACGGGCCTCATCGCTGGCGCCGAGAGCACCTTTGACTGTCTCCTTGACCGTCTCTGTGACTGTCATGTCGCCAATCGTTTCCTCTGAGCCCATATAAGTACTGGCAGTCTGCCTTTTGGGTGAAGCACCAAAAGGATCAAAAGGATCAAAAGCTCTCAATCGGAGCTCGGATGCCAAGACCAAAAGGGCGCTAGCTCGCCTAGTGCGGGCTCCCCTCGGTCAATTTACGCGTGAAGATCGCAGTGCGCGTCTCAAACCCATTTCCATTTGGTCCACTTAATCCTTTTGAGGCGCACAACCAACCCTCAATTATTCCCTATATTTCCAAGAGTCACCATATCTTACGCCCAAGTCAACCTGGACAATCATGTTGTAAATCTCCGCGCTCAAAAGCGATACTGAGATTTCTGTTTGCTCCTCTGCACTGGCCTGCGGGTAACTGCCGCTGCTGCATGAAGGAAGAAAGAAGTCTGCCCACCATGGCCCCAGGCGTTGCGTCAAATGGCATATACTCTGCCACTTACAGTGGTGTAAGTCGCTGCCCATCCACGTCTTCTCTTACGGGGATCTGGAAAGCAACGCTAACATTCTGCAGGTTCCGGTGTTCGAATTCAATGTCGAGGGGAATCATGTCATGCGAAGAAGAAGAGACCACTACATAAATGCCACTCACATTCTCAAAGTCGCCGACTACGACAAGCCAGCCAGGACAAGAATTTTAGAGAGGGAGGTCCAAAAGGGGGCGCATGAGAAGATACAGGGAGGCTATGGGAAATACCAAGGTTAGCAGAGACCTATTACCTTGGATGTTCGTCTCCACGCTCACGGTCCTTGGCAGGTACTTGGGTCCCTTTGAGAGAAGGAAGACTCCTTGCAGAGCGCAACGGCGTCATCGACAAGCTCCGACCTATCTTCGACTACGTCCCTGGAGACAGCAGTCCACCACCAGCGCCCAAGCACACCACCAATTCCAATAAGCCCAAGATTCCCAAGGCCCCAAATAACAAAAAGATACCAAGTGAGTGCTGTCTGCGCTTGACAAGTACAGCTTTTGCTAACGAACAGAACCCAAAGTGAAACCAACCTACAGTCAGCTCAGCGAAGACTACGACAACATCAGCACACAACTCCATGATGATGACTCCCAAGACAACTCTACAATCGCTTCTGCGTCGTTTATGGATGAGGACGACAGATATGTAGGGAGCCAATACGATCAACATTCGCGCAAACGGAAGCGCGGCCAAGATGTCCTTGAGCAGCAGCACATGCTTTACGCTGATGAACTCCTCGATTACTTCATGCTCTCCACATCCGACGCTCCCCTCCTGCACCTCGCTCCGCCAGTACCACCAGAACCTTTCGAGATCAACCGCCCTATTGACGACCAAGCTCACACTGCTCTTCATTGGGGCGCTGCCATGGGCGACATCGACATCGTACGATTCTTTATCGAACGTGGAGCCAGTCTGTTTGCCCGCAACAAGAGAGGGGAGACACCGTTGATACGAGCAGTGCTCTTCACAAACAATTATGAGAAGGAGACTATGCCGAAGCTCGTACAGCTTCTTATAAGCACGATCCGAGAACAAGATAACCACGGAGGTACTATTCTTCATCACATCGCCATGACTACCAACAGCTTGGCCAAGAAGAGATGTGCTCGCTACTACTTAGACATCGTCCTCAACAAGATGGCTGAAGTCTGCACACCACAAGAGTTTACAAGGCTAGTCAACCTGCCGGATGCCAGCGGCGACACCGCATTACACATTGTTGGTCGACACAACGCCAAGAAGTGCATTCGAGCTCTCCAGGGCCGAGGTGTTCGAGGAGACCTCGAGAACGGCAATGGAGAGACTGCCGACAGGATCATACAAGGCCAACGTGCCATTCGTCAGGACTTCGTATCATCATCTCCACTGCCGGACTTTGGTGCAACTAACGGGCACGAGCTGGTTAAAGCCTCCAAAGCAGGACCGGCATCTCACTACCATAGCCAGTCCGCCAGATCCTTTAGCCAGTCCTTTGGCGAAATGGCCCAAGACAAATCCCTTCAAGTGGCACTGGCCTACGACAGCGAGATCAAACAAAAAGATGACGATTTAGAGGAAGGTCAGCGCTTGGTTCAAAACGTCGATCACCAGCTACATAGCGTCCGACAAGGGATATTCCGACACTTACAAGAGGGAACCGACAGCTACGACAACGAAGAAGAAGAACACCGTCTACGAGAAGAGGAGCGCAGACTAACCACCGAAAGCGAAAGCCTATCCGAGCAAATCCAACACAAAGAGCTTCACCACGCCGTTCGCTCCGAAGAGCAAGCTTTGCCACCTTCAGCGCACCGAAAACCCAATGGTACCATGTCTAACGACCATGAACTCGAGGAGCAGAAGAATGCCGCGTTGGCGCTAGCAGAGCAGCAGAATAAGAGAAGAAAGTTGACGAGTGCTGTGGTGGTAGCTCAGGGGGCAGCTGGCATGAGCGGACATGGCGAGACGCTGAAGCAGCTTGTTTCGAGTACGTGTGGGGTTCCTATCGACGAAGTGTCGGCGTTGGCACCGGAATTGTTGGAAGAATTGCAGCAGAGCAAGATGGAGGTGGGGACTGAAGTCGCTGCTTTGGCATAGTGTCATCAGGATGCCACAGGAATGGGACACTGTACAGGACAGGGCACATCATTGTGGGACCTCTCTTTTTCATCATCCCGTCGCTAGGTGTTGGCTCCTCAGCTGGAAATTCTGGGTCCGGGATCGATGTACCTATTGTCCCATGCACGAGAGACGATGACCGAAGATAGGGCCGATAGGGTCAATCGATGTAGTCCAACTCCAAACCTCGGTCGCTAAGGTTCAACGTGCCTTATTCTCCATTCCTTCTCGCTGGGAAGTCGTCCGGTACGGACGCTTTCCCTTGACTCTTCGAAGCGCAGCTCACGTGGTCTCGGTTGCGTTAGATTTTCCCTTCTGTGTAAAGCCCTTTACTTTTTAAAATTTAGAAAGCCCTGGACAGCCTCTCAACATGTAACAAAAAAATGCCCTCGTAGACGCCGAAAAGTCAAAATCAAAATCAAAATCAAAAGACTAGGTGACGAACGAAGAAGAGGAAAAGCCGCGCCTACATATCGATCGGCCCTGCCATTTCTTTTCACCCCAGCACGACAGATAAGAGCGGTACTCTACCGTGCTTTCCAGTCAACCGACTGACTGGGAGGAGTAAGAAAGAGCAGCGCTGTAAATGCAGAATAGGGGGGGATTTAAAGTGCATTTAACAATTCAATTACCAGTCGAAGACAAAGATCAACTATCTAAGGTACCTTACTCAATGCAGCATTGCGCCATGCCATGCCCAGCTTTGCAAGTCTCCAAACAAATGGACAAATGGAGAACGAAAAAGAAAGAAGAAGAAGAAGGAAACGCTATAACCCAAGCACCGTAAGTTACAACCCTGTATCAACACTGCACACCCATCAATCAATCAATCAATCAATCAATCAATCAATCAATCAATCAACCACTCAACTCACACCGCAACGTCAAACCGTAGCGCACCCAGATCCCAGCATCTGCACATCCCCCTCCCCCTCCCGAACCCCATCCACGCCAGCACCCGATTCCAAACCCTGCATCTCCGTCTCCATCTCGCATCCGCCCTTGCTCCCGCTCTGCACGCCCTGCGAAGCATTGGAGCCACCGCCATCGTCGGTACATTGGACGCCTTCCATGCGAGTGTCGTCGTTGGCATGCCCATCGCACTCGACGCCTTGCATTTCATTCTCGTCGCAAGGCTCGACGCCGACCATCTTACCCTCTTCCGCCGCCTCACAGCGTTCGACCCCTTCCATTTCATCCGCGACGTTGTGCCGGGAGGTGGATGCCAAGTGGGAGGAGAATGGATTTGAGCATGTTTGTCGGGCGAAGATTGCGGTCATGGTGACTGGATGACTTGGGATGCTTAGTAGAATTGTGGAAGGTTGTTGATTCAGGTACTGTGTCGCTGTTGAAGAGGTAGGATGGTCTTGGTGGTATTCGAAAGGTGTTGCTGCGCAGATGGATGGTCTGGAGGGTTGAGGATGAGAAAGGGAAAGGGAAAGGGAAATGGGACCTTGCCTCCTTTTCGCTTTGTAATAATGCATTATCCCCTGGCAAGCCTGAAAAAGTGAGTCAAGCAAGATTTTTTTTCCGGCTCATACCATAATAAGAAAAGGGAGCCGAATATTCGAATTCTTGGCACAGAAAATGCGAGAGAAGGTATCCAGGCCTTGGCGAGCATGATGCTGGTTATTCGGTCGCCGATCTTGGTTGATGAGCAGTGCAAGTCCGAGGCTGCCAAGCTAGAAAGACGTGGCAGCAGAGGATGGTGGAAAGACGGAAAGAAGGTCCAGGCAAGTTTGTTCGACACGGGCTTCAAACAACAGTATTTCTCTAAACACCCCCTATCTCGTTGTCAGATTTCCTCTTGCCTCTGCCCAGCCTCAGCGCATCCAAAAAATTAGCATGGCCGACCACCAGCCGGAGGTCATTTCCCTCTCGGCTAGCCTCATTGGTGAGCCTTTCGAGCGCCGTGTCGGCCAAGAACAATATCTGCTTATGAGACAGGCGTTGCATCTTCTGCCGTGGCGATGTGCTGCATATACGCAAGATGGGTGATATCGGCGGGGGGGATGGCTCAATCTGGTAGCGAAGGCTTGAAGGCATTGTGTACGGGTTGCCGGATTGTAGTAGCGAGTCTGATCTGATGGTGTGAGAGCGAGGGTGACAATATGACAGGAATGCAGCGGTTGATTGTACTAGAGCACGATTGTTGCAACGGCTAGTCGATAAATACAGGCTAGCCCGACATTATAATGCCTTTTAAATCATGAACGGTTCGGTTCGATTGGTCAATTGCCTCAAAAGCCGCTCTTACCATGCGAATTCCTGTCATAGAAGGAAAGTTGGAAGCAGATAGCCCATTGCCGAGCTCTGTGGTATACTAATGGATTGCTGGCTGCAGCGGCAAAAAGGCAAGATTCAAAGCGTTGCATAATGCGAATGCTCGGTGATAAGACGAAGGTCGGCATGATGGCGCCGTGTTCACTTCGCAAGTTTGCTCAACCAAACTTACGCTCGATCATTTCCATGCGTGGTCCCGTAATCATACATCTTTCTGAAGACCACACCTTCTAAGGAAGCCTCGCCAACTGAGTATTTTCCGGATGCCAAATGTCCGCCCGACACGCGAGAGTGCAGGCTCTTCCTACCACCACACTACGATGCATAATTCCCTTCAGATGTTGGCCACGGCCTTCGCCATCTTCTGCAAGCTCTTGCGCAGACGGCCCTGGCGTCTGCCCTGTCAGACAATTGTTTGCAAGCTATGAGCCCTAGATTAACAGGTGGAGTTCCTTCGAATTCCAAGTGATAGCCGCGGTATGTTGGTCAACAGTTTTGCCAGTTCTCAATGCCTTGCGACGTTGAGTACCGCTGAAATCAGAAATTAACTATCTTGCTTGGCCATTGATAAGGAGGTCTAATTATGAGTAGAAACGATGGAACGAGTCCAAGGCGTGAGATATGTGAGGTTAAACGCCGGGAGACTTTCATAAAGGCAGAGGTCTAAATTCTCAAGCTAACCAAAGCGTCGTTGAAAATGGAGGGTCTTGTTGGTAAGAGATCGCGTTGACATGCTTAGTTGCGTTGTCTGGGTCGTTCCCAGGAGGGGAGTTTGCCCGAGTATTTATGCATACATACTGAGTCTCCGAGTGGAATATAAATGTAGACGTAGACACGTATATCCTACCTCCTATGGGCTTGAATCATAGGGAACCAAGGCAGCCTGGTGTTCCTGCTCCCCATTCTCTCACTATCTACCTGTCTTGCGAGCCAGCTTGTCTTGAGGATTGATCATCGAGTAGAAGGCTTTGACGACTTCGGAGTTTTTGGGCGATGAAAACCCTCTCTGCGAAGTCAGAACGACGGCAACCGCAAGGTCCTGAATTGCAGACTATCGAGAAATATGGAATGGCATCACACCCTGGTATCACACAAAACGTGAAAGAACTCCAAGCTCTGCGCGGATGCCTGGGTATAAGGTACTGCGCGTGGTAAGTGGGGGAAACGAATGATTCGCAAGATCTCGAGGGCGAGATATAGGTGAAATGGTGGTATGCTTGCTAGGCTGGCGGTACCCATGATTATGTCTTCAAAGTTGTCAAATCCTTAGGTTGCACACAGAAATGAAGGAAATCAAAAAAACACAAGGTATGAGCCCGAAGGGGCTTAGAGATGTGAGGCTAACCCGGAGGGGCTTAACGGGATCAGGACTCTGAATGACTGAGGCAACGGCCGTATATCTAAGTATCCAGCTGCCCCAATCCACCAGCTCCCACATCACCCCCCTCCACCTAACCCAACCCAACCATGCCGCCCAAACCCCGCCCCACCGCCCGCGGCGACTACCTGGAGACCGAAACCGGCAACAAGGTATCGCGCAAAGCGCAACTCTACGGCACGCAGCACGTCTTCCTCACCGGACGCGCCGTGATCCAGCCCCTGGTATGCATACGCGGGGACCTGCGCCCCACCACCTCCTCCTCCTCCTCCACCGACCCATCTTCCAAACCCACGGCACCAACCTACGCCACCTCCATCACGATCGGGCGCTACACGTTCCTCAGCACGGGGTGCGTGCTACGGCCGCCGTACCGGCTGCAGCAAGGCGCGATGGTGTACTCGCCGCTGAAGATCGGGGACCACGTGTTCGTCGGGGAAGGGTGCGTGATCGAAGCGGCGAGTATCGGCGACCATGTGTATATAGGGAAAGGGGCGATTGTGGGGAAGATGGCGATTATCAAAGACGGGGTCAAGGTGCTGGAGGGGGCGGTGGTGCCGACGGGGATGGTGGTGGCGAGTGGGAGTGTGGTTGGGGGCCAGCCGGGGAGGGTGGTGGGGGATGTGGGGGACGGGTGGGGTGCGCATGAGGGGATGGAAGGGGGGGATATGAGGGAATTGTGGAGGAGTGTGGGTTCGTGAGAGGGGAGGGTCGGTTTGGGGAGAGTGTCGATTGTTGTATGCATTTGCAGGCGCTGCGAGATGATACCCATTGCTGCGGTAGCGATAGCGATTAGATTTGATTACTGATTCTCTAAGCTCAAGGAAGTTCAAATGCCCGCTCCGCAAGCCCGGCTTCGGGGGTGATGGTACCAAAGAATGGCAAATAGCCCTATGATGGTATTACAATTGCATATTTCGCTTGCTGAAAGACCAAAGAAGACGAGCCATGGGCATGAAGAAGCGAGATCTGGGGTATCCTGAAGGACAGGTGTTGTACATGTCGGTAGCTCATCGAATGGGGGACGGTTCGTAACAGAGGGCTGGGGACGCTTATCTGGCCTGTCGTTGCGGGGGTGTCTTGACGTTGTTGGATAGCCAGCCCTGGTTGTAGTCAGCAGAATATCCAATGAACATCTGTAGAATTGTGTCTTACCAAGCCTTCAAATAGACCTTCACCAGTCGTAGCGCAGCTCGGCACTACGTACCAGATCCTGTCTTTGAGCCGGCTAAGCTTCAGACGCTCTTGTACTTCTTGTGGTGTCATTGCTTCACGCAAGCCGTCAGCACTCCCCCCAAAGTCCGGAAGGAAGCCAAAACTCACCTCCTGGTATGTCTTGCTTGTTCGCAAATACCAGCAACAGCGCCTCTTTCATCTCCCTATCCAATATGATCTTATGTAGCTCTTTCCCCGCCTCGTCTATCCTTGATCGGTCGTTCGAGTCGATGACGAAGATGAGACCTTGTGTTCCTGTGTAAATGTTCCCAGTCAGCCATGCACCTTTCAGGCACCATTTCCTCCGCATGAATGGATCTTGCCATACCAGAGAAGTAGTGCCTCCAGAGAGGCCGAATCTTATCCTGTCCTCCCACATCCCAAACGTTGAATTTGACGTTCTTATACGTGACAGTCTCGACGTTGAAGCCGACAGTAGGGATGGTAGTGACGTCGGAGTTGAGCTTCAGCTTGTAGAGGATTGCTATAGACCATTCTCCGTCAGTCTGGGCTTGCGCAGGCATCCGATGGTAGACCCTAGAGTGACCGAAACTTACTGGTCTTCCCTGCGGCATCTAAGCCCAGCATGAGCAGGCGCATTTCTTTCGATCCGAAGATTTTGCCCATGATCTTTGAGACCGAGCCGCCCATGCTTGTGGTGTTGATAGCCTAAAGTTCTTCGGGTTCGAGCCTTGTGGTTCCTATGATCCTTCTGGTGTCTGATTCGTTGATGTATTAAATTGGATTGCCGTTTGAAGCTTAATATTTAGAGGAGCGAGGCAATGAGGACGCGATTAATGTTCGTCTTGCGCAGAACAGATGGAGCTGTCAAAAGTTGCTCGTACAGAACTTGCGTTGCGCATATATGTTGAGTATGGAGTTTATGGAAGGTTGCTTTGGCTTGTTGAAACGATGGATTTTGAAACACGCTGACATGCATGCTCTCGGGAGGCGCCCCTTTCGCCAATCTTACGCCGCCGTTTCCATTCTCCCCTGAGTCTAACCAAATCATCAGCCACGGGGTTTGACCCCTTTACTTTGCATTACATTGCCTATGAAAGCAGGGAAAGCATTGCCTGAAGACGCGTGATTTAAGGCTCTTGGCTTATGGCTTATGCTGGCTCAGGGGGTTGAGGTCTACGTGCATCAGGTGCTGCAGGGTATTGTTGAACGAAGATTCTCGGTTTGTCGCTCGCTATCTTGTCTATAAACATCATAAATGGCTGTCAATTGATCCAAATATGCAGTTGGGTATCTCAGATGACATGATCCACTTCCTCCCCAATCCCAGACGCCATGCAGACGTAGCCTCACTTGCTGCTGACATCTAAGACGAATCTCCGTCCAACCTCCATTTCCTGGTCTTGGTCATCCTCAAATTTCAATCTATACACATCTTTCTTTGCTCCTTTCACCTCCGCTCTGTAGAAGGTAGTCGTTTCTGGATACCGAGCAAGCACCTGCTTTCCAATGGGAAAATCTGGGAGTGGGGCATCGGGCCCAGGGATTGCTATCAATGCTGCGGCTGTTGTCTTGTAGACTTGACCTGGAGCACCGTTTTCGTCTGGTTCAGGGTCCTGCACCTCGTATCTGGTCTATAGTCAGCAAAGGAACAGAATTCGAGGTCAGATTCGACCAGACTTACCGTTTCTTGTTCGCGATCTCAGAAATAGAAGTGATGTTGCACTGTATCCACTGACTTCCATCCTCCTTCTGCTTCGCTTGCTTATACGCAACCTCAGCCCCGACAAAGAATTTCCCAGCCCTCTCCCCAGCTGGCCCTTTACTTCCCTCCGAACCCTCTTCCACCTTGACAATTGGCTCCTGCTTCACCTCTCTCGGCACGGACCCGGTGCGTACGTTCTTGATCTCCTTGACCCTTGCGGCAGGCAAAACCACACTCGGGGATGGAATTGGTGGAGCCGGAGAGTCTGCTGCACCATCTGTTTCGATTTTCTGTCGCTTTACTTGACGTGATTTTGCCACTGCCTGAGGTGGCCGGACGGGCTCGGTTTCACTGGCTGAGCGGAGAGCGGCGAGGATTTCGATGTTTTTGATCACATCGTTAGGCTCTTCTTTGAGGATCTTCTCCTCTTCCTCCGCCAGCCTGACCCCTTCACGGTATAAGGCGAGAAGCTCGTCAATTTCCTTGACCGTAGGTGCTAGAGCAAGCCCGCAGTCAGTATGGAAGTCGGGCAAACGCTAACGAAAATAAGAGGATAACGTAGTGTAGCTATTTTATACGAGAAAAACACAGAAATCTTGGCTGGGGCCAACAAATGCCTTAAACATCATATGGATAATGTAATACGCGTCTGCGCCTCGTTGACGAAGGAAGCAAACCGATGCGGCAAAATAACAGTCAATATCAGAAGAGTGCATCAACTTCCGTGGCAGAACTTTCAAGAAGGACCTTAAAGCTGAAAAGTAGACTGCTACTAACTCTTCCCAATCTTCGCTTCCATGTCAACTTGGGCTTTCGCGATTTCAGCGGCCTTGGCATGGGTCGTCCTGAGCCTTTTGATGTCTGTAACAATTTGACTCCACATGTTCCGCTCTTCGTGTGCGTCCGTGGCATCCTCCTTCGTCAGCCCACCTCGAGGACGGTTACGAGCCGCCATATTGAGGAAATGAATGAAGGGTTCCGCGAGTATCTTCGGATCTTGCAACAGACCACACACTGCCTCACTGCCGCTAGGAGTTAAGGCTCCGGGTTTAGCAGCAAGCCCTGGCTGTAAGGCTGTAAGGCTGTAAGGCTGGAACCGCCAACATTTCAATGAGCAACTCGTGGAGTTGAAGTCATTCCCAACCTTTCCGCAAAGCAGGCGAAGATTCTAGATCTCCACGAAGAGGAACATACAACTGTATTATATAGATCATTAAGACAGTAACAAGGGAGATGCAAGTTCCACTCATCCGCTTGCAATGCGGTATGCTCTCCACTTTTGCTTGAAACGTCGTGACTAAACCTTCACAGGAGTCAATAGCTACGAATGGGGTAAGATAAGCTACCCTGACTGAAGAGGGATCTTGTTCTGATATGAAATGCAGGCAAGGTTGGACACGAATCGGCAGCGGCCAAATTCGCGGCAGCCACCCCTTCGAACAAGCTCTCCATTGAGCAAGAGAAGCCATATGCGGAGCTGTGGATGGGAACGCACCCATCTCTGCCTTCCAAAGATGTAGAGACGCAGAGGAGCCTTCTTGACATGGTTCAAGACAACCAAGCACTTATGTCAACGGAGATTAGCAAGAAATATGGCGAGAAGCTACCGTTTCTGTTTAAAGTTCTTTCTATCCGCAAAGCATTGAGTATCCAAGCACATCCAAACAAGAAGTTGGCGGAGCAGCTTCATGAAAAGGACCCGAAGAACTACCCAGGTATGATCCGTTAACCAGATCACGCTCACACGTCTGATATGCCTGGTTGTAGATGACAACCACAAACCCGAGATGACCATAGCCGTCACACCCTTTGACGGAATGTGCGGCTTCCGCCCCTTAAAAGAGATTTCACATTTCCTCTCCACAGTCTCATCATTACGCAGCCTTATCGGCGAATCTGCAGCTAAAGACTTTGAGAACGCTGTGAGCGGACACGAGACATCTGACAGCGAGAAAGATGTAGAGAAGAACAAGAAAGCTTTACAAGCGGCTTTCTCCACTCTGATGAAGATCGATAAGTCTACCATCGCTTCTGCAGCTAAGGAGCTTGTGGCTTCCGCCGAGAAGGAAGGTGAGGAATTCGCGGGTGGCGGGGGACCTTCGAATGGAGGCAAAGAACTCGCAGACCTGGTCATCCGACTGAATGGCCAGTTTGAGGGAGATATCGGTCTCTTTGTGCTTTTCTTTCTCAATTATGTGAAGCTGGAGATTGGCGAGGCTATGTTCTTGAAGGCAGATGATATCCATGCGTACCTTAGCGGAGGTGAGTCATATTCTGTATCCAATCCTCGCGAATTCGACCTTGTCCACTGCTCGGGTACGATACCAGTCTTATCATATACGCAGACATCATCGAATGCATGGCCTCCTCGGACAACGTCGTCCGAGCCGGTTTCACCCCCAAATTCCAAGACATCCCCACTTTAACAACCATGCTTACCTACTCCTACGCTCCCATCTCCGAGCAAAAGATGCACCCCACCGACTACCCCTACGTCACTCTCAACAGTACCGCATATTCTTCCTCATCATCCGCCATCCTCTACGACCCTCCAATTGAGGAGTTCAGCGTTGTGAAGACCGAGCTGAAGAAGAAAGGCGCCAAAGCTACGTTTGAAGCGATAGCAGGTCCAAGCATCTTCATCTGCACTAATGGCGAGGGCACAATCTCCGTTGGGCCGAAGACCGAAGAGCTGAAGACAGGGTTTGTTTACTTCGTAGGGGCCACGGCCGAGTGTGTTCTTGAGAGCCAAAGCGAGGACTTCACGACCTTCAAGGCATTCTGCGAGCTGAGTGGTAAAGAAAGTGCAAATGGAACTAAATAGATTGGTAGTGAGGGCTTGGGACGAATTATGCCGCTAGGTTTTCAGCTTTCTTTGATACACTCATAAACCCCAAGGCGGCTTCGGCTGAAATGCCTTCATATCCTTCTAAGCCAAATTCTCACTGCTGAAAGGATCTTGTGGAATCTTTTCGGTTCTCCGCAGCTAGCCAGCAGTTCCACGTTCGCTGGCTTTGTTGTGCCATCTTTGATCTGACCACTAGCCTCATATACCTCCTCCATTTCTCTCTCTTCGTTTCCCTTTCCATACTCAATTAGGATTACTTCTGGGTTCTGCAGGTCTGCGGGGCCTCTCCGTGGAATACATATAACCTTGACTCCAAGATGGAGGCACCAAAGCCATTGTTGGCCGACCCAAGCTGATTAACAGGGCGAACCATTCTTCTTTGTATAATTCAGCTACACAATGGCTTTGTCCACCTTCGAGACTTCATTGTGTTACACCTCATTGGGATCAATCTTCAAACACAACGCATTGTGTTATAAGCTCTCCCTTCGGGTGCGATATATATACAGGATTGCGCTCTACAAAGACTACTCACTCATCTCTCCCATCCCGCTTTCTTTTCATCGCACTGTCCTTCGACAGTCTTAATCCTCAAGGAAAGTAGATCTCTCCTACCCATCCACTCGTCTCACCTCCTATCCACCAATTCGACTTACTCCACTAGGCATTCCGCAGACAGCTCCGCATCCGCACCCAATGGCTTACCAACCCGGCCCCTTCCCACCAGCCACCATTCTCAAAACCTTCGGCATCGTCACCGCAGTCTGCCTGCTCGTCCTCATGGTCCTCTACGTCGTCTACGCCGGCGGACGACGCAAGGCCTGCGGCCAAGGGCCCCGCTCGGCCAACCTCCGGGCCCGGCGCCCTCGTGACGCCGAGACAGGAGCCGCGGGCACCGCAAGACGCAATTGTCGGCATGTGGACTCCGTGGACACTTTGCCGCGGTATATGCCCAAGGAGGAAGGAGGTGTGGCTCCCGCTCCGCCCGAGCAGGTTCACGGGAGCGGGCATGATGGGGTCGAAGAGGAGGGACCGAAGCCGCCGGCGTATACGTTTGATGCGGGAGGTCCGGTCAGTGAGGGTGGGTTTGGGGTGGCTGGCGAAGGCCATGCTGGTCTTCCGGTTTCTCCGGATCCGGTGCATATTTCTAGATAGATAGGGGGCCGGCTGAGAAGAGACGGGATGGGAGAGGGTCAAGGTTCTAGGTTCACGGCGAAGTATGGAAAGTATTGGTCATGATTTGACACTCCAGCATGTATAACACCGTTGTTTTCAACACAGCTTATGTTTCCTACTAAAGTTCCATATTACCAACCTCCCTTTCTCCTTCCTCCAAAACACCAACCTCCCTCAAAAAACCCCAATTCCAAAACAACAGCAACTCCCATTCCAACCGCATCAACCTCAAGAATCAACACCTACCCCCACCCACCCAACTATCCAGCACCATGCCCCACCCAACCCCCTCCAACCCTCCCCCTCACCAACCCCTACAAATCCGCTCCACCAACGACGGAAACATCGCCTTCCTCCTCCTCATCGCCATCTGCTCCGCCGCAGCCCTAATCCTCTTCTCCGTCTGGGCCTCTTCCAAACTCCTCTCCCCACGACCACGACGGCGCCCAGGAACCGCAGCGGAGGGCATCGAGCTGGGCGGAATCCCGGGCGCGGGAGAACGCACAGCCGGAGCCGAAGACCGAGCCGGGGCGGGCCGGGACAAAGACGACGGTCTCCATGCCGGCGACGGCGACGGCGATGGCTACGCTGAGCGTGGCGGGTCCACGGAAACACAGATCGACATGGCGCTCCCCGAGCCGCCCGCTCGGGCGTACGGGCGAGATGGCGGAGAAGGGTTGCATGGTGTGTCTCCGGTCGAGGATGTGGAGATGATATGAGGGGGGCTGGGGTTGGGAATGCTGGTGATAAATATGCATTTTGAGAGGATCAGAGAGGGATGGGTAGAGGAGGGATGTCAAGTCGCTGTGTTGACCGTACGGAAAGGCAACGAACAGTTGGTGCCGTTTCTCAGTGTGTAGAACTGTGTGCTCAAAGGAATCATCACACAAGCCTATCTTTCTTTCTTTCTTTCTTTCTTCTCCCTCTTTTGTAGACTCTGATCCGACTTCGATTCGCAACGTCATGATGGGTGTTTTATTGTCGCACGAGATCCAGGCCCGTCATATCCGCAGGGAACGCAAATAGTGCAAGAAATATGCCGAATGCCCCTTCCTCGTGTGAATCGCGATGAGAGATGCAGGCAGTGTCCCGACCTCCTCCAGGTACGGGTGCCAGGAACAGTGTGATGCACGATGAGAGCACCTTAGGGGAATAGATCCCGTCGTGGGTTCGACTTTGTTCGAAGTGATTGCAGAATTGTGCCGATAGACAAGGAGAAAGGATCGAGTCAACAACATGATGCTTAAGCATCGCGAATCGTTGAGCACAATATTCAGCGGTCGTGTATGTTTTTCTAGTAAGCACAAGCGGACTCGGAATACTTCGCTTGGCATGGACGCTGAACAACTCGCTAGATAGAGACTCGAATTCTCGACGAAGACCAATCTGGAGAAGGAGGAATTGCGAAGGTGAAGGGACCAGGTATAGGAGTGATGTCACATAGCGATACTCCGGCAAGTCATAGTGAAGGAACCAGGTAGCACCCAAAAGAACAATTGTTTTTCAATAGCTCTCTTCAATGCATCGAGTTTGCCTATCATTAGATCCATTATTAGGCATCACGGCTCCCCAGGCCAGATACTATCCGCCAGCTCTCTCACCAGCGTCAACTTATTGACCATGTCATGCTTCTTGACTGAATTCCCTGCCGAGTGACTGGCAAACCCACACTGCGGGCTCACACCCAATCTCTGCAATGCTTCTTGTCGAGTCTGATTGTTGCCCTCCGCCACGAAGTCAGCAGCCTCATACACTCTCTTCTTCATCTCCTCCATGTCCTCCATCTCCGGGAATTTGCTAGTGATGACACCAAGTATCACGTTCTTGTTCTTCGGCAGACTCTTCAACGGCTCAAAGCCCCCTGCTCTTGGTGTGTCGTATTCGAGATAGTATGTATTCACGTGCATGTCCTGAAATAGCTTCTTTGCAACGCGGTCGTAGCCGCCTTCCGAGAAGTGACGGCTGTTGACAAAGTTACCGCGACAAATATGCACTCCCACATGCATATCTGCGGGGCGTTTGGAGATGCAGTCATTGTAGAAGTCAATGTACTCGTCGAGGGTTTGGTCTGTCGTTTTGGTGTTTAAAGGGTCTTTCTTCCAGCCTTCGAGCATTTTTTCGGAGCAGAAGTCTGCGCATCCAGTCAGCTCAAGTATGGTACCATGAGGACTGATGCTTTCTTACAGGCAAGATTGGGGTCATCGATTTGAACGTTCCTCAAGCCATTGTCGTAGAGAATCTGTAGCTCGGTTTGGTATGCCTTTGCAATGTCCGCAAAGTACTCCTTGTCACTTGGGTAGACGTCTTTGGGGTACGCCCTTCCTTCCTTGTACCGCATGTGGTACCATTCCGGTGCCGCCAAAGTGATCTTACACTCGTGTACTCGCTCTTTTGGCACAATGCTCTTCAAATAATCCCATTGATCGACGTAGGTACTTCCAACGTGCTTGATCTTGCCAGTGCAAATGACACTTTCTCCTGGCTTGTGTCCCGACTCTGTGAAGGCTGCAATGTCGGGCATGTACATTCGGAAAATGTCGACGTCGGGGTTCTTGATCTCCTTGAAGCCTTCCAGGCCCGGGAAGAAGGTGCCCCAGAACACTGCAGTGTCGGCTCAGCATAGACACTAGATGTATGGCACGGGCGGGGAACGCACTATGGCGTCTATATTCGCCATCTGAGATGGGATGGAAGCCCAACTTGACCTGGGTATCAACAACGTCCTTCACGGACGTGTCTTCGATATTCGTCAACTGCTCCTGCTGAGTCTTGCCATTGTCCAAGTCTGCGCGTGTCTGAAGGAGATTATCAGGCCGTAGAAGAGAGCCTAGGTGCTCTGCTCTGAAAGGAGGGTCTCTGTGCAGGTTGGAAGCCATGGTCAAGGTGGATTGTACAGGTCTGCGTCTGGGAGTCAATTCCGAGTCGAGGTCGAGGAAGCCTCAACGACTTACATGCGAGGCCCACAGATTGCAAATGGAAGAAGGAGAATTTGGAGAACATGGTAGCCTTTCAAGCAAACAATAGGTCGAATGTTTAACAGGACCGGCAATGAAGTTGGATGTGGAGTGCCGATGTGAAAAAGAAGTCGACGGCACTTGTTCGGGTCTGCTCCCCGCATTTTGGCATTTTGAAGCGTTGGAAAATGCCAAGCCTACGAGAGCACGCTAACCCATGTTGTGCTCACACGCGGATAGCGAAGTCGGTAAAATAAAGTAGTAACGCTATATCACATCTTCCCCAACAACCGCATAGAGAATGTGGACGTTAGATATTGCTAAGGGTAGCATACCGCGAGAGCGGAGTAGGCTCGAGCAACTCTTACTGGAGTCGGTTCAACATATCTTTCCCATGTTCCTGTTCTTCTACCTCCGCTGACAGCGATCATCAGCTTAAAAATAGTTGATTCGGTTGCCTCTAAAGCAGATGAGCCAAATTGACAAGGGCGTCTGAGATACATGGGTAAGGACTCAGAGATTGTCATAAATCAACCTATACATGCTCAGTATGCTCGCTATGCCAGTCGTAGATTCATAAACATCGCATGCCTTCTCAACCCACACAATTACTCCTTGCTCAACATAGGCCTAACACCAGCCAAAAATCTGCGCCGATTAAACATTCTTTCCGGCCTCGTCCGGATCCAAGAACTCTGTCAACGCCCGCTCTGCATCCCAGGACGGCAACTTCCCGCCATTCTCATCATCGGAGCCTTCTCCGCCCAACCCCTCCGCCTCCCAGCTTTCTTTGTCTCTCTCCACGACATCTCCAGCCGTTTCAACCCAAGCCTTCCATGCCTCGCTGACAGGCGCTATTTGTCCAATCTTGACCCACTCCACACTCTTCGTAATAGCTATAGCCTTCCATAACGCCTGCGTGAAATTCTCATGATCTTCTCCGCCTTCGTAGAGTTCCCGTTTGACTTTGTAGCATGATAGATCCCAGTGCCATTGTGGGGGTAAGGCGGCCACAACCCAGTATGCGGCGTTGAGGATCATGTAGGCAGCTGCGAAGGCAATTTGGAGGGGTAGAGTGGAATTACCGAGGCAGATAACGCCGAACATGAGGGTTATGGTACCGATGAGAGAGACAATCCTGTAGATTGTGTCGCCGAAGGTGTACTGGCATTCTTCTGGATGCCAGTATAGCTCTCTTGCAACGTTTTCGTCGCACTTGACCACTAAGAAGGCGCCATGGGGATATTTAATTATGATGTTGTCTCTTGGCACACGCCTTTTTTGTTTCCTTTTCATGAGGGAAAGATTCCAACGGCTACCGAAGCCGATAAGGGTGGAGAGGAGGGATAGCAGTATGGTAGCGAGTAGAGCGAAGCCATCATTTCGAGCTATGGAGAGAGCCAGCAGGGCGACGGACATAGCTGTTCCCAGCAAGGAAAGCCATGCTAGAGGTCCCCAGGTATAAGCTGAGACTGTAGAGGTAGGATTGGGTTTGCTGATGCGTTCGCAGCGGACTGCATAGGCTGGGAGAGGGTGTATGCTGTGTACTAGATGTGCTATATGGTTGACAAAGTCCCGAATGCCGCCGCTGCGGGCACCAATCACTTTGCCATTGTCTGGTTTGAGGCTTTCTGGTCTTGAAGTGCGTATGAGAGCTTGAGGGGCGGGCAGGAGGCGAGGCAGGAGGGAGAACTTGGAGAGGGTGGAGACTTGGGCATTTGCTTTGACGGAGGCTTCACCAAGAATGGCGAGACTATGTGGATTGTGGTTAGCGGTCTTGAGCTCGGATGAGGCGGTTAGCAAGGGCCAGGCTCACAAGCCGACGATGTCAAGCTGGAGGTTATGAAAGCCGCTGGACGCGTTCTGTGAGTTGCCTCCACCGTTATCAAGCCAGTTCAGCATGGCGGAATGTCTGGAGTAAGCAAATCTAGGGTATCAGAGTTCAGTTGTTAGATGAGTTGATAGTTGTAGGTATGGTGAGACGATGTCTTTGAGGTTAGCAGGCGGAGGCTCCTCTTCTTGGCCATGCCTTGGCACTCAGCCCCATTTAACGGAGCAAACGCCAGTATGATGATACCATGCTCTTTTGGCACCGATGAGGCGGTTCTACTGGTCTCATGCTGTGGCTGTAGAAGAAGGCTGCAATACGTAGCAATCGAAGTTTTTGGCAAAGGGTACTCGTAGAGTCGTAGGATTACCATCGCTGTCATAGTATATTGATTGCGGACGCTTCGGCCGGCCAGCCAAATGATCCCCCCCGGAGCCGAGAAAGTCAAACTTCTACGGTAGCTCGGGTGTACTTTGACCGTCTCACGTTGCTTCCTGTCCCCATCATTCAACCTCTCATGATCATAAGGTATAATGTTACCAGCTTGCCGTGCTCACTGGGCGCCACGAGGCTCAGGAGTTGGAGGGTCTAGCGAACTACCAGTCTCGATATGTTCCCACTACTCTAAGGACTTACAACGCGAAGCGCGCACATTCGTGTCCTTGGTATTTGGCCAAAACTTCAACCCAGCGAGTACCATGGCGCCATTCCCATCCACGCCCTCCATAGCCGCACAGCTGGCCTCGCGCAAGCTACGAGGCTGCAGGGGCAGTTCTCCATTTTTAAGAGTGTGATCGCTTGGCCTGAAATTTGACTGGGCTAGGCATATCTAGTTGCATGAATTGTGTGTGGTGGGGTTGGGATATATGGCAAGGCTACGAGTAAGAACTAGGGAATAAAAGGATCACGTTGGAATCAATTTGAAAAACCGAGAGAATTCCTACATCAGGTCTTTTAACCGGAACAAGGTCGTCAGTGCTTCCTAGAGCCGATGTTCCTGTATGAATCCTCTTGACGCTCATCTTAGAGCTCCCTCACCACCGTCAATGGAACAAGACGAGGAAGATGTATTCGAAGGCGTTGTAAGACACCCCATGCTTATTGCGGCACTGATTTCTCTCGTATCACACTTCCTACGGGCGACAGAAGAATTTTGCTTGTCTGTGAAAGGGTGTAAATGATGGGTCGGGTCCTGTCTAATTTCTCCTCCTTTGTGCTGCTTTCAATCGAATTGCACATATTCACTTCTGCCTTAGAAGCTCAGCAATGATTTTCACATACTGATTTGCAAAAGGGCATTGACGTGTTTCAAGATTATACACACCCGAAGGCTTTTGACTTCTCTCACCTCTCATCATGGGACACATTTACCCAAGATCTCTCCAGAGCCTGTCAATCAGTCTTTCCCCAGCATCCTGCTAAATATGAAGGAGTCCACGCTCTTCTCATGAACTGGGCTGAGGACGATCTTGGAACGGATATCGAGTTAGTCGATATGGATGCTTTGTTCCGAGACCACTTCAACTACTCATCAGAGATATGGAAAATACCTAGTCAACATTCAGAAGACGCTCTCGAGCGAAAGCTTTCAGAAGTAAAGGCACAATTTGGGGGCGAGAACCGGCTCTTGATTGTCTACTATGGAGGTCACGGTCGCCATGATCCCAGCAGTCGTAGTATCTGGCAAGCGTATGTCTCTATTTCGTTACGCTGCATCATCGAATCAGCTTTGGTCTGTTGTGATGATGATGTTGCCATTTATATCGGAAATGGAAGAGGTCAAATCATTGTTCGCGCCGTTTGAAGTCATCTTTGCTGTTGAGATTTTGATCGACTCTACCACTGCCCGACGTAAAAGAGGCGAACAGAGCAGAGTGGCTGCTGACCAAGTTTAGATATCTCGATCGCAAGAGACTTGGCAAACGGAAGAGTCCGACTCTCTCCTGGAGTACTTTACAGCCCATGCTTCAAAGGGCCTTATGCGACGTGCTAATCCTGCTGGACTGCTGTTTTGCTGGAAGTGCAGCTCGTGCTTCAATCAATGGTACCAACGAGCTACTCGCCGCTTGTGGCCGAGAGACGACTACCGCAGCCGTTACCGATAGATCATTCACGAGAAATCTCCTACGGAAGATAAAGTCTTTCAATGGGCAGCCTTTTACGGTCAATCAGCTCTATGAGCGACTAATCAATGATCGCAAGCGAATAGACAAAACGCCGCAATATGCTGCTTTATCAGACTGCGCAAGATCTAGTATTGTTCTAGCGCCAGTAAGATCTGAGCTGGCAGTGAACGATCTCCAACTATCTGTACAATCCTCGACAGAATCAGGGTCGAATGATTCAGGGCCTTTAACGTCTGCTTCAACCTCCCTCGTGCCGTCGTCAGAAACGGGCACTTCCGGACTATCGTCTCCTTCCGAAGGCCCTCGTGTATTAATTGCTGTATCGTTAGCAGCCGAGGCTAGTGTTCCGGAGGTCGAACTATGGAAGAACTGGCTCTCAACGGATGCTCCTGATGACGTTCGCCGCCTTGAGGTCACTATGGAGACAGCTTTTTCGGCTCATTCCACACTGGTACTTGTATCAGTGCCGATAAGCGTGTGGAATCACCTCCCAGATACATCAGCCTACCGTTTTGTTGACTTCATCAAATCCGGAAATCTATTGGCCTGTGGAGCGAAGCAATCCGAGCAACATGAAGAGATCTTCGTTGTCAAAGAGAACGCTATGACTGATGATTCATCGAGCATAGTCTTGTAAGGGTTTCCAATTTTCGCATGGCCGCCCTAGTTTATGGGGCACAGTCTCTGATGAGGGTTACCAATTCATGCATGACCGCCCTAGTTTATGGGGCACAGTCTCTGATGAGGGTTACCATTTCATGCATGACCGCCCTAGTTTATCGGGCATGGATCATGCAAGAATTGACCACCTCTCCAACGCGCCATCTGGACTCCTAAAGTCGACTTTGTACTCTCAATCCATCGATCGTTCGATTATCGTGCCCCCTCAACCTACGCTTGCGGGAGTTGTTCTTGGAGATTTGGGTATCAGCAGATTGGCAGCTTATACTCCTTCAGCATCTGACAGGACTCCCTACAACAGCTGCCCGTTGACGGGATACTGCGATTTTCGTATTTTCACATTACGTCAAGGTTCCTCCAATGAACCGATAGAAGGTACCCTGATGACCTGTTCTCTTGAAAAAGGAACGAGTCCTATTGAAAAAATCCAATCCTATGAAGCCTTGTCTTATCACTGGGGCAGTGGGGAGGCCAGCTTCAAGATGAAGATTATTACAGAGGGTGTTCCTAGAACTTTCAATGTCAGGTCAAATTTGTATGCAGCGCTAAATCAGCTGCGGCTCGCTGACAGGTACGTACATCTTGGAGCAGTGTCATCTGCAAGACACGCTGCAGGAGCGAAAAGCTCTTGATCAGCCCACGATCCCCACCCTCCCTCGCTCCATTTTCCCCCCCTCACTGCCGTTTCCCTTCGCGTATTGTTGCGTTGAAAAGAAAACCACTAATTTTCAAATAAATAAGTAAAGGCCAAGAAAGCTTTGGATCGACGCCCTCTGCATCAATCAAAGTGATAATGACGAAAAAAACGCCCAAGTCCCGCTTATCGCCGATATATATGGTGGAGCAACACAAGTATGTGTTTGGCTTGGAAAAGAAAGTACGGACAGTAGCCTGGCTCTGAACTTCATCAGCCGGATCGTCAATCTAGATGATGTTGACCGCTTGGTGGCAGACCAGAGAAATGCGCGAGAATGGATCGCTTTGTCATCGCTTATGAGAAGGACGTGGTTTAGGCGTCGCTGGGTCGTTCAGGAGATCGCACTAGCAGTCCGTGCCACACTCTATTGCGGTGACGCTCACATTGACTGGTCCGACTTCGCTTGCGCCGTTTCTTTCTTGGAGGCCATGGAATCGGAAAGTCACGAGATATCAAAAAGCGTCGTGGGAGCGATTCGCCTTGCGAAGGCCTCCAGTAACCTGTTCCGCAAGTCCAAAGATGGACAAGTCCTCGAACGACTGTTTTCACTAGAGACCTTGATCTCAACTTTTTCCGACTTCCAAACTTCGCGACCTCACGATACCATCTACAGCGTCCTGAATCTGGCGAGGGACGTGCCCACATCTGCAGCGAAGAGCGACACGGAAAGGCTTGTCAAGCTCGCAACCCCCAGATTCACGCAGGCCGCGGAAGGAACTCGATTCATGGTTGACTATAACAAGCCGTTTATCGAGGTATGCAAGGAATTCCTCCGGCTCACAATCAAAACCGACGGGTTCCTAGATATCATATGTAGGCCGTGGGTGCCTGAAGAGGGAATTTCAGAGACCGAGCGCCCGTCATGGCTCCTCACGACCTCAAAAGCGGCCTGGGGAATGCGCCCTGACGGAATCTATAGCAGAGCAAATGCTGACACGTTGGTCGGACCACCCGACTTGGGCAAGAGGAACTACAACGCTTCAAAGTCATTCAAAGTCACTGACAAATGGAAATTTGGGGAAGGTCAAAAAGTTCGCAGCATGTATGTGGAGGGGTTCGTCATCGACTCCATCAAAGAGAAGAAGCCTTGCGCGGCTGACGGCATCATCTTCCGTGAATGGCTGTCTGCTGGAGGCTGGACCGATATGTCCGCGCTGCCACCGGATGAGTTCTGGCGCACATTGGTTGCAGACAGAGGGCGGAATGGGGTGAACCCTCCAATGTTATATCCACGTGCCTGCAGAGCCGCTTTGGAACAAAGCGTCAAAGGCGGACACGTACACACCGATACACTGATACGCGACGTCAGGAGCACCAGCGTCGCGAACTTTCTTCAAAGAGTTCAGGAGGTAATTTGGATGAGAAGGCTCATCATTACGGAACGCAACACTCTCGGCTTGGCTCCAGAGATGTCGAAGAAGCGAGACCTCATATGCATTCTCTTTGGCTGCAGTGTACCTGTCGCGCTACGAAGGATGGTGGACCCGGTGACTGATGAGGAATACTTTACGTTCATTGGAGAGTGCTATGTCCATGGTCTCATGGACGGTGAGGCTTTCGCTTTGGCCACATCTCGGAGTGATAATGGAATGATCGCCAACAAGGTCTTTGAGCTTCGATGAGATGTATCTGCTCTTTGCTTTTCGATCGCAACTCCAATGTGCCGTTGCAGAAAGTCAGGACTGGCCCGGGGCATGAGTAGTCTTGTGGAAAGATTACTAGCGCGCTTCGTGTAGCAGGAGAAAAAGGAGGATCTAAGAAGGTGGCATAGACTTTGCTGGCGAGTGTTCCTGCATCTTATTTTTGTATTGTTGGAGAGCTACAGGTATAGCTTTGTTCTATGTAGGACATCTGCGGGAGGCTACGATCAAATTTTGACGGTCAATCTCCTCCACGTAGCCCACAGCACCCACCCTTCGATGTAAAGAGAACTCCAATATAGAACTTTATTAGGGACCTAAACAGATGAACGGTGAGAATATGAGACCAATTTCGGGGACATTGAAATTGCAGATGTCTTGGCGTCAAGTCTTGGCGCGACAAGACCGAGAGTTAGCCATTTCCTGACTAGCGTTCTTTTTCCGAAGCCAAAGCGAAACCGAAATACTTCAACTTCGAAAGGTTATCCTTGAATTCGAACTACGAACGTTGCTTCATAGCGCTGCTGAGTGGTGATGCGCCTGGAATAATAAGGTCAAGCAACCCATGACTTGATATCCAGTCATGGATCCCCTGAGTCAATGCTTCTCAAACATCAAACTTTGTGCCTTCAGACTGGCAGCCTATTCAGCAGCTCTGAAAGCTGTTGTGCCCCCTTTGCTACAGTCGTGATTTTGCTGCTTCCACCTGCCGGTGATATGGAACTTGCAGCTACGGGTCAAGAAGAAGATGGCAGTAACGGCAAGTTTCCCCCTCGGTCTTTTGTGAGACCTCACCATGCTGAGATTCTCTGGAAAGCAGCTGACATTCGGAGTCTCCAGCGTAGTTACTGCCAGCGCCATCCCCGTGAAATATTCAGCTAAGAGCGATCATGAACAGTCATAGAGCGCTGCTCTTGTCTAGTTTTGAGCCGGACATCGGCATTATCTGCGCCTGCCTTCCTGTCATGATGCTCTTTGTCCGACTTGTGCGCGAGCAGTTCGGCTCACTGTCGCCGGTATTTTAGAAGGCTCACTCTCTTTCTAAGATGAAGAGGACTGGCTTTTGCGCAGGGTTCATATCGGAACAGATGTGAACGTGCTCCGTGACCATGTTGAGGCGCGCTGATTGGTCACCAAAGTCCAAGCCTTCCAGAAACAAGGGTCACGAAGCCGAAGTACTTCCTTTTAACCTCATTTTTTTTATATAATGCAAACGGAACAGTGCGAATTCGCGACGCTTTGGGCAGACGGTTCGAAGAAGTAGACGCTTATCGCTCAATCGGAGACCCCGCCGGGACTTTGGGATTCATTGGTCCAAGCCTACTCTTTGCCTCACTCATGTAAGGCGCTGATAATGGATCCCGCGTGGATTTTCACCTTTGACGTACGTGAGGGGCAGCCTCATGCAAGTCCGTCGATCACTGCAGGCGCAACCGAGGGCCTGTGCTCCAGCTAAGCAACAACATCCTCCTCCCGAGTCTTTCAACTTCCTGACTCTTCTTACTTAAGAGTCATAATTGTTAGCAGTCTCCGTTGCGACGGCTGCCGATGCGCCATCGATCGCTTCGATATGGATCCTCTATCGGTGGCTACCTCGGTGGCAGGCGTCGCCGCCACGGGTCTCCAATTATCTCAAACAATCTACGATCTTATCTCCACATTCTACGAAGCAGAGAGAGAGATGTCGAGTATCGCAAACGATATATCACTTTTAGCTACCGTTCTCCATCAGCTAGAGGGCGTTCTCCGACGAGACTCACGAGTCTACCAACCACGCATGGTCGAAGTGGTTCACGAGATCCTAGATACTTGCGAAGATGTCTTCCAAAGCATTTCGAAGTTCATATCTGTAAGTTGTCAAGATACGAGGTCTTCTACGAGGTTCCAAAGCAAAGTACGCTGGTATTTCCAGCGACATCGCGTTAGACCATTGCAGGCCGGACTAGAATCTATGAAATCAACATTGAACGTATTGTTGCATGTCGTCCAATTGGCACGGGCTACTGAAGCAGCGAAGTTTTTCATGTAAGTCATCTGCAAACCCAGTAGTGCGCGAGTCATATTACCTAACACAGCACAGACCCAACGCCGGAACAGTCTTCACACAAGCGGACATTCGAAAGGAGAGTAGGATGCTCGTGGGAGTTGTGCTAGAAAATCGGCGAAGTATCTTGAGTCTTAAACAGATTGAAGAGGATCGCGACAGACGACAAAACTTGCGGAACATAATCGAGAATAAGCGGGATAGTGAGGGGACTGATAGCGACGTAGCTCTGGATGGCGGTGCACCAAAGACGGAGCGTAAGGCTCGTCCCACGGAAAGGACCAACATTGGTGGGTTCAGTTCAGTCGGAGGCTGGGCAGGAGGCGGTAGTGCGAACACCAGCACCCATATGGACTCCTTTCCAAAGGCTGCGAAGGATTCAGCAACAGACACGACATACAACAACAAAGAAAACAAGAAAAAGACCACTACTACCGGTTTGGACTCTGGGTTTGGGATTTGGGGCCCACGTGAAGAAGGAAATGAGGTAGAAGAAGCCGAAGAAATCAAGGCACGAGGCGAAGATGGTTGGGTGACCTTTACTACCACCACCACCACAGAAAAGGAGCACAAGAAGAACGCTTGGCTCAACGATGTTTCCAAGAATCCAGATCCGACTGTCATTGACAACGCACCGGAAAACACGGTAGCAGCGGCAGATGGCTCATGGAGCGCCTGGGGTGTCGCATCTAATGAAGACAAGGAAGCAAAGGAAAAGATGGAGGAAAGAAAGAATATCCAGAAGGGGGTGGAGGACAATGATCGTAGATCACGTGATGTGTCGCCTGACCTAAGTGTACCGGCGAGATCGTCATCACAATCCGAACATATTGTCGAAGACTACAAGGTCTCAGAAGCTGGTTCAGGTGGTAGCAGACTGATATCGGTCAATGAAAGTCCAGACTTGGTTCACGCTGATAGCGCTTCTATCAGCCAGCCAAGCCATTCAGGGATAAATTCAGACCCACAATCTCAGTCCCCTGCTTCTGTGCACTATTTTATTGCGCCCGAGATCCCACTCGCGGATGAGACTGTACATTCTCTTATGGAAGACCTTGCTATGGAGCCCAGCGGACCCCAAATTACAGCAAGTACGAAGGGACTAGACACAAAATTCGGCAAGAGCCAATGGTCACCGCCTGAAACGGAGATAGTAACACCAACCGCGCAATGGTTCCTGAGCGTTGTACCTCACGAATCGAGTGTTACAGCATTGATCGTAAGACCTCGGCCTGGAGACGCGAACCATCTCAGGACTCGAGCGGAAGAGACGGCCAAAACACTCTTGCTCAATTGGACTACTGTCGATCCCGGCGTCATTTCCGGAGAGGAGAGTTTTTGGAATTCTGGACGCTGGAATTCCACCAACGATTCCTATTTTCATCCCCACAGACCAGCAAGAGATGAGAATGTTCCAACCCAGCCATATCATGTGCCCTACCCGCATCAATCGTACCCAACGTATACACCGCAACAGTGGTATGCGCCGCCAGTATTCCCTCCACTTCCTTCCCCTCCAGTATTCACTCCACTTCCTCCCCCGCTGCCAGTAACCACTCCATCTCCTCCCCCCGAAGATAAGCAAACGGATAGTGAGGAGCTCGCTCGTTTGAAGAAGCTGATTCTAGACGAAAAGGCAGAACAAGACGAGAGGGCAGCGGCAGCGGCAGCGGCAGCAGCAGTCCCACCATCAACCGCAGCCGTCGTATCTATCGCAACAGAGGACACGTCAGAAGATGCCATGCAGCGCGAAAATAATTATACGGAAGCAGAGGACTCGATGCAGAGGCAGCAAGTGCACATTACGCCGTGGAAGGCAGAACCCTCGAGACAACAGCCGGTCATAATGAGGGATTGGCTTGGCCGGAAGTTCATCTTCCCCGTCGACATGTGCCAGACCTGGGAGGTGGGTGATCTAAATTCTTACTCGATTGTCTTGCGCTAATTCGTCCAAAGGGGCTCCATAATCTAATCCAGGAAGCTTTTGGGCATGAACTTAAACACAGGTCAATGGTCGAGAAGGGCTACTACAACATATCCCACGTTACGGGCGAAATAATCCTCCCCTCGATTTGGGAATTGTTCGTACGACCTGGTTTGGAGATCAACATGGAACTGCAGGACGTACTTGACGCAGATATAGACGACTCTGGCGGTAAAGCGATGGTGGGCGGTAGAAGAGAAAAGACTGGTCCGAAAACATTGACACCACCGCATGCACCGGAGGTGACCACGCTCGGAATCCCAATGGTCCTGCAATCTAGGAGCGACGAGGAAGCTTCTACTGACGACGTCGCAGACGATGAAGCAGACTACTCAGTTCCGGACGGAATCAGCTACGTAGAGCTGTCGGACCCTCGCTATCTGTCGATTGAAAAGGTACTTCTTGAGCAAAAGATGGCCAAAGTCGAGGCGGAAATGAAGCTCGAACGCAACAGGCGTTTCTTCCAACTCAAGCAACAGCTCATGGACCAGGGCGCTGCGATTCATGCGCGGCAGGATGCTGCTGACCATGCAGAGCAAGACAATAAGTTGGCGTGGTTGGAGAAGCAAGTCAGGGATCAAAAGGAGGTGCTTGATGGACTACCGCCACTCTTGATGACTCCGCCAAGCTCCAACGCTGGCGATTCGTTGAGCAAGAGTCCAAGCAGTCCGCAGCGGAACCCTTCCTTTGTGGCACGCCTGTTGGGTCGCATACCGTCTCGGAGTATCCGTTCCAGGGGCTCCATCCAGAGTCAGCAAATGATAACCGAGGGTTGACGGATTGGGGTACAGCAGCAAAATTGTGAACCGCTCGACCTTTATCGACATTACGAAGTCTGCATCGCGACACCCCCAGATACCGAAATTGTACTAGCTATCTCTGCTGAACCTGTGGGTAGGGATGCGTGTTTCAAGCGTGATAATGCAGGCGTGCGTTCGCGGATGGCGTGACGGA